AGATTCAAAATTTCAAATTAAAAATCATATATTCATAGACTTTTTAGCCGCTTATGAACGTTAAGTTTCATTCTGTTTGATATAGTAATATTTTTACATGCCGTCCAGGTCAGTATACAAATTCAATTTTCTTTTTCCAGTTCTTTTCAACTGGTAACAAACTTTTTGATTGGACTTCAGCATAATATACTTTTATTGATATAGTATATTTTTGTTATTAAAGAGTAAATAAAAAATTAAGTAGATTGGTTTTAGCGCTTCCGTTGATATCATATACTTATCTTCATTGAATTTCATATATTCACATACATGCATATGCATATAGTGCCTAAACCCGTCTGTCTGTAGACCCCAGTGACCTAATTTGACGCGAAAATTATACGAATAAATTGCTTCATAGGTACCAACGCGACCGGATGCATGCGTGTTTCATTCCATCATTAAATACGAGACTGTACCCCAACGTCGAAGACTGGAATACTACGAAGAAGACTATTTATGTCTTAAACCAAATTTCAATAAGACTATGGAGCGATATCTGAGTGTTCCGAAACAGCTTGTAAACGCCACTTGTAGAAATGGTATGGTAGCATATTTTTACTTACACTGTAATTAATGACTGCTTTTTTATAGATGAATATGGATTGGCGTTCTCATCTGCCATAACGCTATATGCTGGCAAAGAACCAGTGGATGATAGGACGATAATGAAAACGAGTTAATGAGTTCACTGTGACGAATTTCGTTTCCGTTCCTAATATTTACTAAAAGGACACTAGTTCCTATAACTAATAATTCCCCACAACGTTCTGTTGGATGTTATAAATCTGCTTGCACTGTAATTTAATCTGAACATGTAGACACGCTTTTCCTAAATCTATACTAATAATTTAAAATTGAAGAGCTTGTTGGTTTCCGCGTTGTCATAGCGAGATCTACCAAATAAACGACGTGTCTGAATTTAAATTTTAATATTATATAAACCATTTATGAAGTCTAAATAAAACTACAAAAATCTATATAAAACTACGCTACGGTCAATAGTAGCGGGCCATCAATGAAAAATGTTGCAAAAAACGGGGAAAGAATGACGCAGACGAAGTTACGCGGGTCAGTTAGTGTAGCTATGTACTGTAGGACGGGAAGCTTTAAAACCGGCACAACAAGGTTTCATTAAGGTCGACAACATATAGGTACATGACACGACTGTTGTTCCAAATATTCATAGTCATAATGATATATACATATATAAGTATATAAAAAAATGATGTAACGTTGTTTGTACGCGGTGTAATCCTAAACTACTAAACCGATTTTCAATTTTATATGTATACTTGGTAGTTCTCAGACCTAGGTTATCTATTTTTTAACACCTAAGTTACAAAGCCCACCCGAGCTTTTTTTTATGATTTGGCATTAAATAATACTTACAATATATATAGATGTATCTATGACTAAAACTATTATTGGATGTCTTTATCAACATAATAGAACCCAATATAATGATAAATAGTAAAACTTTTGAAAGACAACAATTGTAACAAAATATTAGCTTTATAATTATTATTTCATCATTCATAACTACATACAAAATATATCATACTTAGTCATCAGAGTATTTATAGAGTAGGTATAGAACATATTACAGTAACTCATCAATACACAAATATTGACTTATACCAATAATACAATGAATAAATTCTAAGTCTATTTCAATTGTGTGACAAATTTTATGCTCCGTAAATACGCAGCAAAGTATCATATCATTATAATTATTAATTTGCTGACGTTCGCTTCATCTTCTATGTAATATGAACTAGGTGTACTATCCGTTATATTAGTAAAACCGTTAATATATACAAGGACAAGTAATTTGAAACTTAACAATAATAATAATAACTCTTTATTGCACATACATAAACATGGAACAGTAAGTACAAAAGTCTACAATATCTATACATATAAATAAAATTGGAGTATCTGTTTGTAATATTGAAATAACCTTTTTTTACTACACGCATATGAATATAAATACGATACATACACCAAAATAACATTTTTTAATAAAGGCTAATCTCTGAAATGGCTGGACCGATTTTGACGGGACTTTTTTTGGTAGATAGCTGATGTAATAAGGAGTAACTTGGGCTACTTTTATTTTAGAAAATTAAAGTTAAATTCTACGCGGACGTAGCCGCGGGAACAGCTAATATATAATATGATGAATCGACTCTTATCATCTAGGGGTATAAAAAACTGCCTACAATATATTCTCAGACCTATCAAATGTACACCACAAATTATATAAAATATATAAGATTAGTTACTGCTTAGTCATGAGAAAATGAACGGATAGACGCAACCTTTTTGCTCGTAGATATAATAGATGTACGAAGTCCATATGTATATTGTGTTTTTATAAAATACTTGTAGACCAGGCCACGCGTTGCTGTGGCTAAGGTTATTGAATAAAATAATATTGCGACTATAAATTGAGATGTAAACTATCCTATTTTCAAGTTGGATCAAATTGCACACAAGGTGCAAATCAAATTTGCAAATGATTCAGTAGTTTAGGAGTCCATTGCGGACAAATAACGTGACACGTAATCTTATATATAAAATTCTCGTGTCACAGTTTTCGTTCCCATCCTCCTCCGAAACGGCTTGACCGATTCTCATGAAATTTTGTGAGCGTATTGAGTAGGTCTGAGAAACGGCCAACATCTATTTTTCATCCCCCTAAATGTTAGGGGTAGTCCACCCCTAAATTTTTTATTTTTATTTTAAGGCAAAACAACATTTGCCGGGACAGCTAGTTTTTATACATAAAGACTAGTTGACCCGCGTAACTTCGCCCGCGTCACAATTTCCGACATATACCATTCTTACTCTGCTCCTATTAATGGTATCGTAATGTTATATAGGCTTCGTCGATAAATGGGCTATCTGATACTAAAAGAATTTCCAAAATCGATTCAGTAGATTCAGGGTTTCTGTAAAAGGTAGGTATACAATTATACATGCACTGATACAATTATATTTCGTACTTATTATGGCTTGAAAGCCATTAATCCGCACTAAAACATATCGATCCGCTTTATCTTATCTATGAACATATAAATTAATAAAAAATGCCAGCAATTCTCGTAATCGATACGCTGAAATACCTATAATTTATTTTATTGCAATTTTATTAAAAGCAACAACAACCTTCACTTAAATGCAGTATTTTATGTTTTACTAAGGGCCCATGATATTGTGCTTGTTATAGGCTAAAAGATGCTGGTAAGTAAATATTATGCAACTAAATTGACATATATTTCTTTTGCCAGGTATTATAAGATCACTTGCAGTCAACACCCAAGAATGTGGAATACGTGTTATGGCAGAGTACAGGTATTATCCACAAAAAAGTTACTATAGTAAATCCTATCTACCATTGGAATATTGTACTGAGAAAAGTCAATCATGTATATTGATATCAGCGTGGCACGTATCTAATTCGACCATAGAGAATTTCGAATTCTTAAAAAATGATCAAAAGTTTAAAAGGTATTTTATGAAATCAGGAATATTCACAGATAAAGATATCTGAATAAGATGACTTCATAGATTGTTCATATGTGTTCTTAGGTATTTCTGCTTATTACCTTTAAAGGAAATAAAATTACAAAACTGTGTCAACTAATTATTTACTATCCTATTTGAGTTAGCCATGATATGATGGAAAATATGATAAAGAAATACTCTATACTATTATAAAATCTCCCTTATCTCTGAAGTTTCAGAAGTCGAAATAACTATAATAAAGACGTGTGTCAAGATTAAAATGCTGTTTCTAATATCTATAAATAGAGGAGAGAAGGGGATAGTCAGTAATGGAGCCCCATTGCTCGCAACGAACCATGTCAGTTTGACCTCCACTTGATTTCTCCTGGAAATCATCTTGTAAATTCCTGGTGAATTCATCACGATGACCTAAACTAACCTCATGCTATATTTGTCGTCCTACATTTTTGTTCCGCACGCGTAAACCATTAGCGTAAGCGGACAACATTCCATTATAATCCATTAAAAATAATCAGTAAATAAAGATTTTTTCTATTTCTAAATTTGTATTCGGTTTAAATACAAATGGTAAATACCACACCGGTGAAAGAATTTAGGATGAGCATGAAGTCAGGTCAGTTTGCCCATCGTGGCGAATTTACTAGAAATTGACTACGTTTAGTGGTTTCTGAAATTAGCGTGAACAACGCACAGACGAAAAGTCTAAATCCTATTGATTTCAATCTGTTACAATTGAGAATTGTTAATAAGTAGGTGCACGATAAAATATAATAAAAGAACGGCGCTTACATACCTAGCTTTTAACCGAAGTAGACTTTGTAAGTCTTCTGTGTGGGTACCTCAATTTATTTCAGGCGTCAAATGATAGCTTTGTAAGCTTTTGTTTCGATTGTAGGGTGAGAAAACGCAGTGAAATTACAGAATGACAGAAAATATGACATCTTAAGCCTCCAGAATGGCAATTTATGCGCATAACGTGCTGCTCCTGTATAGGTGATCACTTACTATCAGGTAGGCCGTCAGCGAGCTTGCCATATTAATTAGGTAGGTACAGAAAAAAATATCATACAGTTAGCCACGCATACGAGTTTATATAGTATCCCACTAACAAATGTTAGGCTGTGTTTATCAGTATAAAACTAGCGAAAAAGTAACCTTTTTTCAAAGCTAGTAAAAAGAACAATAAGTAGGGTATTCGCAAATACGTTGTCGATTCCATAAATTTTACTAATTACAAGTTATGCCATAAATTAATATTTATGTCATAGGAGTGAATAAATATAAAAATAATAACAAATTATGAGACCATATACCCACTACAAATGAAGTTCTTAGTGGCAAGTTGATCGAAGAAAATAAGCGGTTTTCTACAATAGTTAATGATGCTATCAGTTATGGTACTATAAACTAGAATAATAGAATCTTACCGCTTAAATCCATTTTAATTCGCAATGGCACTATTTAAATTATAAAAATATTTTATACAGTGCTTTAATTAGGCAGTTGAAACAAATTTAAAATTTCACCAGGAACTACGAACTTTCTCTCGACATACTTCTATATACTATATATTTGACAGAAATTAAATAGAGATGCCCAAAGACATATCAACTCTACAAGTGAGGTGGACAAACTGTTATGAATATAGAGAGATGCTTAAATTTTGACAAGCTTGATATCCTTCCGTGTGTCAAGAGATATCGATATATAGATATATTATTATCGATATACAGATAATTAAGTTTAGTATTATGATTGATCAAATAATTATTATATAACTCAATAACACGGCAAATAACAAACATTGATATTTCATTCCATTTGCAGATTGCGATATTTTACAAATGACTTCATCGATAATTAATTTTCGATTTTACGATAGTGTCGATATATATCGGACATTCCTAAAAAACAATAAACAAAAAAAAAAGCAATAGCTGTCAGAATGGAGATACCGCTCTTAGAAATTTTATTTAAAAACTATGAAAATATTATCTATTTAGTTTGTGACTATAGATGTATTTTCAAAATACGAATATAGTCCTAATATCAAAATCTTTTTAATTTACGTCATCCTAAATTCACAATGAAATGCTATGTCCCAGGATCAAATGTAAAAGGTAAGTCTATTCTGTTTTGATTGCGATTTATTCTTTAATTAGCGTAATTAATGAAGTCCTTTTATCAAAACTAATTAAAAATGTACATAAAAATAATTTCCACTCATTTTTTAATAGTTTTAGGGAGGACTGTGCACGCTTTGGCTAGATTTGGAGATGAACTATACTTAGAATCTTTACCTGATTGTATGCTTTTAAGAACTCTAAATGCTGCTGAATCGGCATATGCAATGGTCAAATTCAATAAGAATTTCTTTTCATATTTCAACTTTAATTACTTCTCAAATGAAGACAATGAAGGTTTAAAATGCAAAATATCAATGAAATCGGCACTAAACACGTTTAAGTCGCCAACGCATATGGATAAACAAGTAGAGAATTTGGAAATAAAACTTGACCCAGAAGCATGTAAATTAATATTTCAGTTGAAATGTAAACATGGTATAGTGAAGACACACTATGTGTCTATATTAGATTGTAAGGCCATGCAAGCAGTGTACACAAAAGATTCTGTACCTAACAGGTAAATATGTTTGTTACATTTTAGCTATTTAATAGCAGCACTATACTTAAATGCATTCTTATTAGCCTACCAAATAATAAATCTAAGAATTACTTCTAAATTGTTTCTGCAATTTCATTTCAGGGCCTTATATTCAATTATTATTATAGTTTACTTCATTTATTATTATAATTTCTTAACACTTCACATACATTTTACACTTTATAAAATGTAATACAATGAAATCTATATTTCTATGTTGTAATAATTTATAAAACATGCAATGTAACTTTATATTGTATAATTTAATGAAGTATTGTAACTTTCTTTATCTAGGATAACATCTTCTCAGAGATTGCTATCAGAAACACTAAGCAACTTTCAAAGTTCGGATGACCAAGTCACATTAGAGGCAACAACACAGTCACTTATACTTCGGAACTATACTGAATGTAGTGGAGACTCACTGAAAATCATCAGGACACAAATAAACCTAAAACCAATAGAGTTTACAAGTTACTCAATTGGAACTGCTACTACTATAACTTTCACATTAAAGGAATTTAGAGCACTTTTATCTTTAGCTGAAGCTTTAAGCTTGCCTATTCAATTACATTTTGAAACAACAGGGCGGCCGGTTGTATTTATTGTTCATAATGGATCAACATTTGAAGCACACTTTGTTTTAGCAACATCAAAACCTGATGGTGCAACACAAGCTACATCTACACAAAATACAACTATAGAAAGAAAAAGAAAAGAAACTAGTTATGACTCTTCAGCTAGGAAGAAAGTGCATATAGACACTGATATATCCAAATGCCTAGATGAAGATTCACATTTGTTTAATTTTATTGATATACCAGATGAAATACCTGTTGTCAATTCATTATCCAATGGTAAGTCATTCATAGAAAATAATATTAATAGATCCAATTGCAAATCATTACAAATGGAAAATAATGATAATGGCAAAGAAAATGATGACATGGACCATGATCACATTCCTGCATCACCTACTTCAAAAGCAATGATAAAATCCGTATTCAAGAGATGCTTTGAAAGTACTTTTGATCCAAGAGCAATAAGAGGTGTGGTCTTAGCGGAGGACTCTGACAGTGAATAGCAAACTTTTTATGTAAATATATTTATTTTTAATGTAATATAGTCATTGATGTGTTGAATATATAAAATAATGTATAAATATAAAGGATTATGTAATTTTTACATGTCTCTATAGATATCCATTACCTTCACTAATTTATATAAAGTGCATCAAACAATGATTGCTAGCCACAAACAGACAAGTTCTTATGTATGGAGCAAAATACTATACATTTCTATTTAAAAAAATCTTTTTATTTCTCAATTATGACAACATATTGTTTACAAGATTATTAGATGAAACACACCTAAAAATCTATAATCCAATCGATTTTTACTATAATAGCACTTGGAAGTATGTACTATAAATACATGTGAGAGAAGTCTTAGTCTGTAAATGTTATAATATATAATTATGTAAATCTGATCCTATTAGTATATTAATAATACAAAAACTAAGGTTGTATTGAATGTTTAATTACTGAATATAGTACATTTATTATTATAAACAAATGTTATAGAAGCCTTACAAGGAATTTAAGGAAAGCAAATGAAATAGCAAATTATCACTGCATTATAATTTTATAGCAAAAAATATACATACACTGTTAAAAAATATTTATACATGTCACAAAACCAGTGTTCGATGATGTATGATGGTGGGGTTTAACATTCATTACTACATTATGCTGGACTGGTAACAATAATTTAGGTCGCATCGATAATAAAATAATACTTCAGAACAAAACAAAATTACAATCAAATATTAGCATTCATATTATATGCTAATAATCAAAAATATCTGATTTTACTATTTAATTCACAAATAATGAGCAAACATAACAGTATATTGTTAATCATTTCTCATTCTATACAATTATGGTACATTTATATATAATCAGGGCAAAGTGATATAACACATCTTGTTAGCCCCATTTTATTTTCCTAACACTCGTAATAAATGGGCACTTTCACAGAGTTTATGTCAATATAAGCTAACAGGTATATATTCATCTCTAAAATATAGATAAAGTGATCTATAGGTGGAGTTGATACTATCTTAATAAAATTGGTTTTATGTATAAAAATTATAATTAATAGGTATTCAATTTACTACTATAATTAGCACTACAATTATAACTGTGGCATGAAGAAGCAACCAATGTGTATCCATCGCTTGTTCCGGTAACTAATAATTTACATTTCAAATACCTTTTACAATTTTACTATAATCAATGTGATTGTGAATTCTTCATTCTTAATACAATTGAGATAATAATAAATATTATAATAATTGTTTTTAAATTATTTCAGATTTGGTTTTATACTATATTATACAGAGATCAAAAACTAACAATAATAAGAAGTAAAAAGAAAAAAATGCAGATTTGTTTTCTATAAAAAATTACCATACACATTTCATTATTATAACAATAGCTAGCTAACGTGTCTTAAAAAAGATGAAAAAGACCTTGAATTCTATTTTTATTATTTATAAAATACGGCAGCGATACCATTTAATTACAATAAGTATTTATTTTAAATCAATTTCAATATAGTCTCTGGGCCAGGTGGAGTGGCCTGCACTAGGAATCACTCGGGGGCCTTCTCTCAACAACGTTTCAACTCAATCACAAAACACTCACTATCCAACTAAATCAATGAAAAAGGGCACTGTTACTTAGGAACAATCCTCTTGGCTCTTTCTCACACACTGTGCTACTTTCCTTTTAAACTCCGTATATGATTCCCTCCATTCTTTCTGTAAAAAGAAACAGAATGAGCACACAACTACAAGTGTCGTATAACGCCGGTCTGGCGCGGTTCAACTCTGTGGTAATGTGTTTGTTACTGTTGTATCACACGGCCCTTTTCTGTGATTTTTAAACCCCTCTCACTCCTAAAAGCAATCTTCTTGACTTTTCCTAACACATCTGGCAACTTTCTTTTTGAAATCCGAATATCGCTCTCTCCATTCTTTCTGTGAATGCAAACAACAAGAAATCAATTATACAAAGATAATGATTATACATCACAGTATAGCCCACATCAGTATATATTTTTTTTTTTCAATAATAAAACTTTCAACTTAAGGCTTACATAGACGTCAATTTTTGCTGTCATCTTAAAGTTGCCTTTCATATCTATATATTTATTACCCTATTCATATACAGTCTTATAAAACTATTGTACAGAGAAAACATGATAACCAACCAGTTTACTAATAAAACATGAGTCAATTTTACAAAACAAGACGAATATTGGCCCGCTGGGCCAATATTCGTCTTGTTTTGTGAAATTGACCTGTCGAAAACTTATAAGATGTTTAAAATAGTTGTATTATGAAGTCCAGTGAAAGTCAGCTGCGGTCCCAAGGTTGGGTTGAGGAACAACGACCTCGCAAATGTGTCAAAAAATATTAATAATTTCCTTCTGGTTCAAATTGCTAAAAAACTATATTTAAAGTTATATATATTCAAGATAAAGAATAGTCAGCTAGCTGTAGGTGTTGTATTATACATCAGCTGATAACACGAACATGTAAAAAATTCTGTGTATTCCCCTCACTTCAAAATTTGTCATCTTTCTTAACTACCTTATAAGTTGTAGATTGGAATGAAATAATTTATGAAAAAAAGCTGTCTATGGGACTACATGTTTGTTTAGATTTGATGGTGTAAATTTCAGGTTTTGCAGTGTGTGGTGAGAGAGTAAATATAAAATTTACACATAAATGAAACAGTGACAAGTATTATATGTAACATTGTCAGAACAAATCAAAGAAGGAAAAGTCGGTGAGGGGTATTTCTTATATGCAGTTTTATAGTGAATAGCTGTAGAACAACACAGTTAAGTTTGAGAATATATAACATTCTAGAGATCTACAATATTTGGCTTACTAAGCCTATATATTTGACAGATCCTTCTTTAAGTAAAGATTTTAGGTATTATAAAAGTAAAGCTCACACATGCTTCATTTTGCAACTTCTGCCTAAATAAACTAGTTCAGTAGTAGTACTTTTTAATCTAGGGTCATTATCTGAAGCCTCAATGTAGTTATAGTTTACCTGAGGTAATTGTTAGTCATTTTTAAATTTAGTATTATTTTTACCTACAATTTTATGATGATGGTGTTCAACCCTCTTTAACTTTTATATGTTGTATATGTATACTTGTAACTAACATGAAAATACTAGTCTTAAAGGTCACATTAAAACTTTTATATTTATGGTAAGTAAGTATGTAGTAATTAAAATAAATATGTTATTTTACTCCCTGTAAAAAAAAATTAAGACCCCTCTTTCCTATTAACATTTGATAAGGAATTTACACATATATACATATATTTACAACCCAAAAAAATATACTCACTGCTGCATCTACATTTGCGGGGCTTTCATCATTTGGGTCCGCCAACATGGAAATAACACTGATAAGAATTGTCTCCACTGTATGCACAGGCAGCCACCGTTCCGAAGCCTTCTCATAACCCCATTTATCATCTCCAGGTTCATGTAGTATTGATATGCATACATCACCATTTTTTTCAACTAAAATTTAAAAGATATAAAGTATGTTTATATTCTTTACATTATTCATATGATGTAGAATGTAGAGTATAAAATAGGTACAGGAACTAGGTAAGACTTTATTCATAATAAAAATGAACAATATTATTAACTTCATTTGCACTGATAGCTTCTGTGGTCTTGTGTTTGAGCAGATTACTTTACTTCCGATGGCTTCAGGTTTGATGCCTCACATGGTATAAACATGTATTCATGAGTATGATTGTTTGTATTATTTGTCTAGGTTTTTTATGTATAAAATTTATGTATTTACAAGAAAATGTATCTATTTATATCAATTGCCTAGTACCCATAATAACAAGCTTGGGTCCAGTTACTACCATTATTTGTTGGGTTTGCAGTGAAACTGGTAAGAATTATAAACAACACATTATATAAACAAGTCCAGGTCACCAGCACATTTGTAACAGAATATATTAGGAGCAAATATTGGGAGCTCATAAATAATATTACCATAATAAATATCCTGATTTGAAATCTCACATAACAAATCATTCTATAAATATATAGCATTTCAAATACCACCAAATAAGATAAACTGTAATTACATTGTGTACAAATAATAGACTTTTGACAGACATATGTTGCATATGATAGTGACTCATTAAGAGAGAAATTCAAAGAGGCAAATATTCTCACCGTTGCTTCTCAATTTATATATTCAAATATCCTATATGTTCATAAAAATCTTGACTTATTTCCAAAAAACAGCAATATTCATAATATTAATACAAGATTTAAAGACAAACTTGCTGTCTTTTATGGGAATAGGTATAAAAATTTACAATAAGATACCAAAGGATATGTTGGAATTACCCTTAAATAAATTCAAAACATCTGTTAAATCATATTTACTGAGCAAAGCCTATTACGCACTAAACGATTACTTGAATGACGAGTGTGCATGGCAATAGTTGTTCATGCACTGAATTTTCATTTAATGTTAGACATAGACACCTATATAAATATACATTGTAAATAAACTGGCTTTAAAAAAAAAGTAATTCAATTGAGTTTCTTGCCAGTTCTTCTCAATTGGATCTATATACCGAACTGGACGGTAGGGAAAAAAATAAAATTATAATGTAAAAATTTGACGTTCATAAGCGGCTAAAATGTCCTACATGAATAAATGATTTTTGAATTTGAATTTGAATTTGAATTTGATAGTCTTTGATTATGGTGATTAATAAAATTGCCTATCTCTCTGAGCCATACATTGAATCTGAATAAATTCTGACATATGATGTTGCAACAGACATTCAGCTAACAGAGATGTATTTACATTTAAAAGTTCCTAACAATTTTATATTTATAATAAATTTATATATTTATAGAAACTTTGAAATTCATATTTGTCTTCCATGAAACATAACCTAATGCATTTGGACTTCTCTGATGAGCATTTTACAATTACTTACTATTTGGGTGCCATATTTCAGTGACAAATTTCATCCGTGGTGGCCTCAGAGGGTACTCTTTTGGAAAATGTAAGTGAGCTTTGAAAAATCCACCCTCACTGTGAAATAATAAATATATACAATATAAATAAAACAATCCAAATCTATACATATAAATAACATATATTCAAATTCAAATAACTGTTTTATACTACATGCATATGAATATAAATATGGTACATACGCCAAAATAACATTTTTTACCATTTTTGTCTGCCTATCTGTTTATTCCGGCTAATCTCAGAAATGACTGGACCGATTTTGATGGAACTTTTTTTAGCAGGTAATAAGTATGTAATAAGTAGTAACTTAGGCTACTTTTATTTTAGAAAATTCTTTCATTTCAGAAAAATAAATTTAAATTTGATGTGCACAAAGTCACATGTACAGCTAGTATTATATAAATATGATTAAGAGTGTCCCCCCACTCTTAATCATGATTATTAATAATATGGACTAATAACTATATGTATATATACACCTATGTACTATATACACCCTGGAAACTATCTTGTTAAATTCATGGTAAATTTACCATGAGGGCTAACTGACCTCATACTCATATTATCATCCCCCACTGGTCCCCGTTATCGTAAACCATTAGTATAGGTCATTCCATTATCATCCATAAGAAAAAAAAATTAAGAGATAGTGTGACTGCCAATATGCTTTATTATATGAAAAAAATGTAAGAAGTTAGCAGAGAATAAATGAAATAATATTGCTGAGTTATCAATATTGTTAATACAAAACATCTGATAATGAGTTGTCAAACTATACAATGATTATATAGCGACAATGGTGAGTAATTATGTGATCACAGTGCGAGTAATAGGTCTTGAAGTTCTATCAGACTAATCACCACCACTATGCCAGAAAATCTCCCATCTTACTTCATTATTATTGAATTAATAGAAAAATCAGTTCCTAAAGTTAATAAGATAACAAATATATCACAATGGTATTAAAATTTATGAAATTAAATGTATTACAAAATACTCAATGCACTCCTAGAATACTCATTATATTATTTCTTAATGAATTTATCTAGTTAGGAGATAAAATTAAAGAATCTTGATTTATTACAAAAGACATATTACTGTATGTAGAGGAGAATAGGGAATTATTAGACTTAGTAGGCAAATAACAATGAGTCTTTTTATTTAAAAAAGTTTGAACAATACTTTTTACTCACTATAATGTGTCTGGAGGCCCAATAATGAGGACTTCCCATCTGTAAATATCATTGTCGTCAATCAATCCAGCAGAAAATCCTTCCACTGGATTTTTGTTAAGTTCTGTAAACAATACAATTTGGTGATCAACTGAAGCTGAAAACCGGTAATACTACAAGGCACCAGCCTCCTGGCTACTTTTACACATGTAAAAAAAGTATTGTGAATCATTGCCAAGTATGAACCGTAAATATACATCGAATAATTTACTCTTTGACTTTGGTTCAGAATATCTGTCATTCCGACGACTATTGATTTTATATCGTACGGAGCATTTAACACGAGATCTATCTAGATATATATAAATTCTTTAGTAACCATATTTTTAATATACAATTTATTGTAAATTGAAAAGATACATTCAATTCGACCCGCTGAGGTCAATGATACCACGACAAGTCATTTGACGCTAAATGTAAGAGTGACTCGCACAAATAATTTTTAAAGCGAAAGTGTACTTACCTGCTAGTTGCTTTTTTAATAAAAGCGAAGACTGTGGTTCTGACATTAATTACAATTGTGAAATTTACCCTGACGACACGAAACAAATGATTTTTCACAAAAGATGGCTGGTTGAATTTTAAGAAGGTTGTGAAACATATGAGTTGCTGTGCTGTTGCTTGTTTCCGGCAAGTGGTGTTGCCATGTACAGTGCATTAAAGTTTATTATCATCGATTTTTTTATTTAATGCTGAAATATTTTCCTTGTCTATATTTAAAGTACATAACAAACATAATAGTTTATTACAATGATAATAATATAGCAACGTACAACATTTTACTGAAGTAAAGAAGTAGATATACCTAACTATTCATTGAATTATAGCCTATTATTCAGAAATAAATGATTATGAATGATGAAATCAATTAAGTATTATTATTATTAGTATAAATAACGATAGTCCTTAGCTTCATTTATGTTAGTAACTAAAATGTTGTAGTTGAATATTGTTATTAATAATTTCAATAAAAAAAATTGTGATATCTAATCAAATAATCACTATGTTTACTCGGTTCTAGTGTTGTGCTCTTGTTCTTTTCTAAAACTTAGAAACACCAATTCTAAATTGCAATTTTAAACTTTCAAATTGTGACCATCGGAAGAAAAGCACTGCGTTAAATCGCTAGACTATTGATTAGGAACCTGTTTCAGTCAAATGTATTGTTTTTTCATACCGATCGTACTAGAAATCTTGCAACCTCCTTTTTTTTACTTGAGGAAAATACTAATGGAGGCCAACCTGCCCTGATAGAGGTAAACTGCCAGTCCTGTCGGTCCTGCCGGACTCTTACCAGCTAACTCAAAGTTATTACGTCTTTTCACTTTTTGCAAGGGTTATACGCGAGCAGTGGGCGCAGTTCCGCGTTTTCATTTTTTGTATTGCTTACGGGAGGCGTGGGAAAACACGTGCATATTGTGGGCCTCGATGAAGCGACGACCAACTCCAGGGCTACCGCCCCAGGCCCTGACTAAGAATGGGGATGATATGGTGCACCCGCCCACCATCTACACTAACGATATACTATAGTATATGTTGATTGTCAATATTGAAGATTGGTGACTACATTGCTAGCAAAGTAGTCACCAATCTTCAATATTGACAATCTCTTCCCCTAATTACTGTACTGTTAGTTTGTTCACAACCTAAGTAAGTTTTTATTCATATACTAATACGAGGTACAAGGACAGCATTATTTTGGGATAAAAGCAGAATAAGAATTTGAAAAAAGCAAGCAAATTACAACCTAAATAAATGGTTTGGGGGATTGTAAGTAATAATAATTTTTATGCTTTATTATTTATTAAACAAAATAATTATGAATGGGAATAATTATTCTATATATAACATTGACACCTCAGGATACATGTCATGAAACTGTGTTAGGTTTTCTTACTTTTTTAGGCTGAGGTTCACTGCAACCATTTATTTGTGCAGCTTTACGTTTCTTTTTATTTTTCTTTGTCTGATGAATATTATTGTTTTGTTTGACCTGTGATTCTTGCATCTGTGTTTTACCTTGACTTTTAACAGATCCTTTACTTGATGATACAATATCTAACAATGTTTTAATGTCTATACTCAATTTAATCTTACAACTTTCATGGAACATTTTCATTGTATTTATTAACTTTTTTAATAACACGAAAAAGTTAGGTTTCACTTGAAAATCTGTTTCTGTTTGGAGAGTCACTTTCAATTTATTCTCAAATTTCATCTCCAATTTAGTCAACATATTTAAGGTGTTGTCTGTTGTTGGTTTATTTCTTTTCAAAGTGCGATAAAAGCCAGCAATTAGCTCTATTCCTTCATTTCGTCGAAATTGCCTAACATTGCTGTTGAAGATGTTGTCTACAATTACAATCGCAAGTTCATAATTGCCATCCCATTCTGACTGAAGAATATTGTGAAAGAAAATGATGGGTAGTAAACAATTTCTATTAAGGAAGTAGTTTTGAAGAGCTTCTATAAGTATTTCTGTGAGAGGTGAAGTATATATTTTTGATTTATTCATTAATTTTGAATTTTCATTGTTTATTTTTTGAGAACAATGAATTATGAATGTTGAGAAATAAGTAATAATGTCTCCTACAGCTTGGTACAAGAAATGTGATCTTTCACCTTTTTCTATTGTACTTTTAAGATAATCACACAGAACATCTAGAGTAACATCATCAGTTGATACAAATTTTCTAATTTTTGTTAGAGTTCTTATAGTTTTTCTCACTCTGTTCTCCAGTTCACTAAACTGATTATCTTGTATACAGAACTCCAGACATCGAATTAACGGAGCAATCATACCTAGACAGATGTCCATAGATGGATCTTTCTCCAAGTAAATATCTAAAAGATCAAGAACTCTAATCCGAAAGTCAGAAAGAGCTTTCTTATCTTTTCTATCTTTTTTAGATTTCCTGCCTTTTCCTTGTTGAAACTGACTAAAAGCTTCTGCTAGTGCTTCATCAAGTTTCCTACCATCTTCTTCATCAATCATATCAGCATCTAAACTTTCTGCATCACTTTCTGCAGCAATAGTACCTAATGCCTTTTGTACAGCTAATCTTAATTGATCAGGAGTTTTCATTTCCTCATCTTCTTCTTCTTCTACATCACTGTCCTCACTGTCTTTGCCATTTTCTTTTGGATTGTCATCATTGTTTTCTGTTTCATCTTCATCCGAAGTATTATCTGATTCTTCACCCTCTGACCCACTATCCTGTGTTAATAGATCAGTCTCACTATCAGGATCTAAAACAGAAACTATTTGGCCGATTGCTGAGGGGGTTAAAAACTCCCACAGAAGTCTAAATACGCATTGGACCACAGCCCTTAAAACACTAGAATCAACTGAAAGAATAGAAAGTAACACTTCTACTAGTACTTCTATCCATTCTGGCTCCTCTGACAAATGTTCTTTTGAATTGTTAGGCTTCTTTTTCCTATCTTTTCTGTAATGTTCATAACAACTTTTCAATTCTTTTATGGAGCTCCTGGCTACTTTAACATGAGTTGGTTCGGAAAATAAAAATAAACCAAGTTGATATAACAAAATAAGGAAAACTTTATCAACTTTCAAATTAGATCCATTTTGTTCAATACTTTGACATACATGTGTAAGCATTTCCCAACATTCTACACTTTCTGCTGGAAATTGTTTTTCAAGTTTAGTACGGATTTCCTCTTTTTGCAAAATGTTGGATATGAAATTCGAAAGAGCAGATAAAACGCTAACCAAACTATCGACATTCGAAAATCGGGATGTGAAGCAGCGGTAAAAACATGTCTTAATGGATCCTGAAAATAAAGAAAGAATAGTTAATAAAGTTTAAACAGAATTCAAATTGAAAATATAATTTAAAAAAAAACACACTGTTTTTAAAACCATTATATCTATATGGTTGTAAAAACAGTGTGTTTTTTTATTTACAGGTTTCTTAAGAATTCAAAATCTAAAATGCTGGCTTGCAACAAATTTAATAGTGCATGATGTTCTGCACTGTAATAGTTAACAATATCTAGCACACTTACCGGATATCTCAGATCCAACCGCAACATTTTCATCACCACCAATTTTGAAAAATCCAAAACACATCATTATTTTCATGTATGTTAATTTAAACTCAGTGTCATCTTTTACTGCCTCCTGGGTCACCAAATAAGACAACAATTCTGCTGCTTTTACTCTTTCATAATTATACCAGTTCCTTTCAAAACCTTCCTTTACAAATCTTTTTGATTTATTTAATAGTACTCCTTTGAACATTTTAGCTATTATCTTTACACTTTCCTTATCTAAATCAGCTATTATTGATTTCACTATATTTGTTCCTGTAATTTCTGTAAAATTAATCTCTCCAGGACTAAATAAGAGTTTTTTAAGAGTTTCAAGCCTTATGTTATTTGTAACTTTACTGGATTTTAATGCTTTAGCTAAACAGTTAAGAAATTCTTTTTGTTTTTTTATCATAATTTTATGGTCATCTTCATCATCTCTTTTGCTTCTTATCTTACTCGCTGTTTGGAGACCTTTAAACCAATCCATAAATAATTTAAAAAAGTTTTTACTGATTAATTCTGGTATTGCTTCAACATTGTCATCTATATTGACAACAATAGTTCTAAGTATATTGAGTGCAGCTAACTCTCTGTTCCGATTATGTTTCACCAGTTGACTATCTATGCCAGATGACCAGAAAACTTGTAGGTGGGGTGACTTTGCAATGTGGCAACCAATCACTTCATAAATTGGATGTCTCACTGAGTTGAAATCTAGTCCAGTCTGAAATTTAAACATTACAATTGAAACCCTGTTTTAAAGTATTAAAAGATAATTATTTGCAAGTTCAGCTTTATATATTCTTGCTACTTTAGAAAATCCAAATATTACTGCAAAAAATTTAATCTTTTTTGTTTTTCTAATTTAAAAAAAATGAAATTTTATGGTATTGGTATGGTATAATGTCTATTTGTTTATCTGTAACAGTATTATATGTCAGAACTACTGATGCTATTTATATGAAACAGTTTTAGATATTGTTATCTCAATTATATTGGTCATACAGAATTTGAGAAAATATTTAAACTTTAACAAGATTGTTTAAACTGCAAGCTTATATAAAATAGCAATATTTTGAAATAATTTAGCTAAGTAAGGTAAGTAGCTTATTATATAAAAGAAGTTCTTTGTACATTCCCATACCGCCCATTTAATTGAAATAAATAAATATATGATGTTAAATTGCATTTCCATGCCCTCCCTAAGAGAGATGGTATCATGTCTAAAACTTCTTGAAGTAATTACTGTTGATAAAGATATATGTGAAGATAACCTTTATAAAATGTAATTATTTGTCAGTTTAGAAGAAAATGGAATTAAACAACATGTTGTTTTGGAAAACCTCATTCAAAACTACTTTACCTAATGTCACAACAGTATTGACAATTGACTAAAACTAGTGTTATTGTGATTGTGTGTGGTATTTAGGTAGATATATCTTTGCATTCTAATTGCTGCACTGTAAACATACCATAAGTTTCTCACATATAATGTGAATGTTCTCTTCACATAGAAGATCTGGTACTCCCAGTAGTTTCTTCATTTTGACCTTGTCTGGAAACTTATTGTTCACCATCATCAAGAAATAAAGTGAATCAATAGTATGTTCCTTCACAGTCTTCTTAAATTCTTGCTTGATATTCTGCCATATGATTGATGAGAACTGTTCCTTGTTTATCTTAAATATAACATAGATTTAAATACACTAGAATTAAAAATGGTATACAACTATATATATGTACTTTCACAACTGACCTGATATCCTAAGACAATTCAATTATTAGTTTTTTAAAATATTATGTTATTCTAAATTAAATTAATAATAAGATAACAAGATAGAATAATCCATTGTCAACTGTTCATATCAAAAGGAAGTGAAACACTTAATGTTACACTTGATAAATTTTCATTCAATAACTTTAAATTAAATTCAACATGACAGAGGGCAATTCTAACTACAGTTAGTATATAATACTATCATTCCAGAATATAATACTAAATGTTTGTTACAAATTAATTAGTAAAGTCAACCTTACCAGGCAAATTTTTAATTAAAGCTTAATATTCAATTCTTACAGATTATTATTTATATATACAGATTATTTATTGTAATATATAATTTTATGAAATTTATCACTAAGTTTATACATAGAATATTTAATTTTAAATATTTCAATATTCTACTTACCCCATTAACAAAATCAAGAAGTATGAAGTATGCCACAGTACTAAGGTACGATTTTTTCTTGCTGGCACCTAACAATAACTGCAGTATTTCCTTCTGTTCATCATCAGAAGACCTGAACATTAATCCAGAGCGGAATACTGCTCCACATAACAAAATTTGTCCCAGAGCTACATTGCCAACTTCCTAAAAATTAACATAAAAATTAAAAGATTTTAAAACCTATGGAAACAACTAAATTGACGCTATACTTATTTTGGTTTTGTTTTGGAGTCAGAAGCATGGGTCAGCTAGTCATTACATATAATAAAATGAGTTTACTGTCACATAAAAAAACCTGGACGATTTAGGATATAATGTTCTAAAATGTTGTTTGACATATAAGCTAAAAGAAGTAGAGAAAATATGTGCAACATTAAGTATACAAATTAAAGATTTGTAAATGTTATTAATACACCACTTAATTTTGCCACCCCTTAACTATTTAAAAATAATGGATGTTTTAGATTTAATAATTAGATGCAGATTTAATAGTAGTTGTAGCCTCCACTAAATTTAGTCGAAAATGCATATTGCTTTATCTAACTCGATATTGGGGTTTTCATTACCAAAGATGTGGACCCCATTATATCTAACCTAATTATCACGAATCTACGAGAATTATATTAAAAATACAACAAAAAGGAATGAACAAAAGGAGTTTGTAACACTTACACTTTTAGATGAACTATTAGCATGAAGTTCCTTCTTCACTAGTTCAAGTAAGTCTGACACTGTTATTTTGTTAAATTGATTAAGGATTGTTACTAAAGTTGCAAAATGACCAGTTCTCAATTCTGCCACATTTGCTCCCAAACTTCTTACTAATCGCTTCATTACATACTGAATATCTTTGTCATTCTGAAAATTATAATATAGAAAAAAAACTACTATAAATAAAGTATTTAATAGGTATATTAATTTTTTCTGCTTCTTATGCATCGATTTTATAAAAAATACATTTGTAAATAAATTATACTGTAAATAAATTAAACTTAATTAATTTTTTTGAAATGTTGGCAATTTAATTTTATCTTTAAACAAATATTTAAAAATATTTACATAAATAACTAAAACAATATTTTATTTTAATATCATAGGAGCATAAAAGGATGCGGGAAACAATAGCCTTATTGAACATTTTCATTTTTCTTCATAGCTGATCCTCTACTTAAATAATAGACCAATTCAGTTGCAATGTAATTGCTAATTTACGTGCTAAATACACACAGTACATACACATATATTAAATATATAAATTTGCAAAACCTAACCTCACTACCCTGAAGATGTGATATAATTTTAGCACCACCACTTAATTTTTCTTCATCTTTTGTTGCTACAAGTAAAGCAAACGCATCCAGAACAGAAGCAGTCACTCTGAGGTTCTTCTGTGGTTTTAGTGGTTCTGTTTCTTCTACCATTTTGTTAGTATATTATAATTAACACGTAAATGGTAAGACATAAATTTACATTTCTGTATAGTTCTCAAAAAAGAAAAAACACATTATTAGCGGTGCGGTTCAATTGAATTCCGACCATGCTCGTTTTGACAAGAGAGTGTCATTGTCAAATTGACATTGACAATCCTTCGTTAAAACCGTTGCAATTCGCTCAATAGTATTCATCTAAAATCACCACGATGTAGAATACATTTTAAAACATATTAATAACACCCATAACCTTGCGTCACAGTAAAATTGAGCAAAGTCAATAGAAAATAAAATATATTATTTAAATTTAAATTATTATACGGATAATCGATTGACTGTGTATGAATAAAAGTTCTAATTGTTGAGCGCGTCTTTTACATTCACAGCACTAGTTTCCAAACATGGCAGGTCGTAGTGGATTTGATGATGGTAATCCCAGGTATTAATTATATTATATTATTTATCATGTGGAGAGAATGTTTTTCTGAGATTTATTAAGTGTTACTGCAATTTTATATCGATTTATATATACATTTTAAGTAATACCACTAATTATTTGCCGATGTTTTATCTCCTATAAAACATTGAATAAAAGTGTCATTTTAATAAAAGTTATTGAATATTTTGTATTTTGGCATTGATATTCTTCTATTATGTAAGATTTTCAAGTAATTTACTAAAGGATATTGTGTTTTACTTAATTTTTATAGGTTATACATTTTATGGTTTTGGTTATATCTACAGGGATTTCGGTGGCGGTAGAAGGGCACTGGGAGGCCGCCCGCTACCAACTGAGCCCCCATACAAGGCTTATGTTGGAAATTTACCTGCAGGGATCATTCAGGGCGACATTAACAGAATTTTTCCCGTAAGTGAAGGTTTGAACCCATGGTAGCTGACTGTGAGCTGTAATTCAAAGCTGTATTCACAATACTTAAGTATATGTGTACAATATGTAAAATTTATATTAATTATTATTACTAAAATGATCCCTTATTACATTTTCAAATACATCTGTAACACATTGTGTAACATTTACAGTAGTATCTGAAACCTCTACAATAGATTATTAACATTCACATAAGATATGAGAGTAAGGTGTACAAATACTTAGAATATATATATATATATATATATTTTTAATTAGGAATATTATTGCCTAAGTTTGAAGTACTTGTACAATTTCTGTGAACAGTATCTTTACTCCACAATATATACTAACTTAGTTTTTTCAGGATCTTTAATTTTATGTAATTACTATGAAATTATGTGAAATAGAACCACAAATAATTTAATTGTCTTGCTCAGTGGTCTCGTAGTTCACCACATAATTTACCAGTTGCAAGTTTGATTCCTCACATGATGCAAACATTTCTGTATATTTGTATTTGTTGGTCTCTGTCTTTTCTATGTATAATATGTATGTTTTTGCAAAAAAAAGTATCTAAATCAGTTGTCTTAGTACCTCCAACATTGAGATTCTCCAACGGTCCCAGAGCTATGAAGACCATTCTTAAGGCGCCATAGTTTATAACCAACTCTGAGATACATCGCTTTTCAAATGTAGCCACAGTACGAGAGGAGCTTGCTAGCATATGCCCACAATACAAGGCTCGGCTGAGTATACACCCCAATGAACTAGCTCAGAGGTTACTGACTGACAACCCCCCTAAACGCTTGAAAAGAACATATCTAGTGTATTTGGATAAGCAACACTCCAATTCTTAATTCCTGAATGCATGCCGGAGGGCGTCATTGAATAAGAAGTCTTGCACTCAATGGACTGCAGACTCTCATTGCCAATTGTCAATCAATCCGATTATAGTAGACATACTGACCGCAGATAAACCAGGAACAAAAAAATTAACTGTACAATGGTCCAAATTATGCTTAAATGACATAATGTAGTTGTCATCATTTTTAAGTCTCACTAAATCTGACTGACTGTCATCATTTACATAATCATGTCATTACTATTGCATATGGTAGATCGAGAGGACTCTTAGTAACTGGAATGTCCAGTTGCTAGCAATTTTCAATGTCATTTCCCAATCAATGGTTTTCCAATGATTCTGGTGAAGTTACCATGATGAAATAAAGTACAATGATAAAATGTGGAGCAAGTAAGATCAATCTTACATTCTTTCATCTGGTTCCCCGCCAGCATGCCGAACATGTAAAATCATGTACCATATGATTTTGCATGTTCCAGAACGGTATATGTACAAATAATAAGAATATCTTACAATTCATATCTATAATGCATGCTTTCATGATTATTACGACTGGATTTAGACTTGTATAACCAAATCAAATTAAAAAAATCTTTACTCCTATAAAGATATTCTTAATTTGTGAGATATACCATTGGGTACCTTTCAGTGACTAACCCTGAATACACATTGTTTCAGGACCTAGCAATAAAAAATGTAAGGTTGGTTATGGACAAAGAAACAGATAAATTCAAAGGTTTCTGTTATGTGGAATTTGAATACTTGGATGACTTGATAAAAGCAATTGAAATGAATGGCGCTATTAACGTAGAAGGTAACTTTATAAAAATTGACGTGGCTGAAGAAAAAAGAAACGACAGGTGAGCAAAACAATACTTTGTTACTTTATAATTAACTAGTGACTGCCCTGATGAGTATTTCAATTAATTTACGCATTCCTAAACCTTCCTCAGAAGTCGCTCTATTAATGTATGAAAATTGCATGAAAATCCGTTGTGTATTGTCTTCATAACAAGGTGATGGATTAATGTTTCTGTTTTACCACTTATTCAGTATAACTATTGCATTAACAGGATTTTTAAAATTAATTGAGCGGAACGCGAAATGCGGAGCGATCTTAGAGATTACATTTGCACGATTTCCCTTGACCGATCAGACCAAAATTTCATCGGTTTTCCTCGGGCTCCCATCGTTTACCACTGAAAATCGAAGGTTTTCCTCGGGCTCCCATCGTTTACCACTCAAAAAATTATGTTCGGTCAAAGTTGAGTTTTTAAGAATAAATGCGCTTTGCTCAACATGTACCTGGTGTGTATACAAAACCCGTAATAAACATTGTTATTGAAAATTATTATTATTGTTGAAACATAAAACTCAACTATTAACCACGATTTTTTTTAAACTCATTTAAAAAGAATATATTCTGCTACATATATCTGTATTAATGATTTCAACTATTGAACAGATTGTTTTATGTTTTATGATTAAGTAAGTTAAAACGAAAAAGCTGACTGTAGAACTTGATGAATTTATTAAGAAAGCAACATGAAATAAATACCTTTTCTGTGAGAACTGATTATAAAAACTGGTTCAGAGTTAACTCATCACCACCACGGATTGTGACACTATGCGTCAGCTACCGCTGTAAGCGGCAGATGGCGGACGATTCTCGTAGAACTTGTAACAATGCTTATAGTCTTACTATTCTTTTTATCCAAGATATACTTAGTAAAAAATCATCTGCATGGGTCAGTATTCTTACCTATTTTGACTGTCAAGCAGCTTGCTTTGGAAGTTGTAGGGTAATCTGACCCTAGTCAGTGAAATTACAGTAATAAAGTAAACACATAAGTGTTGTCACATGATAATGTGATGTCTGTTGTCCTGTTCATGCATCCTCATCATAAAGGCGACGGTTAACAGCTTCTTTGCCATTCCATTTACATAAAAAAATACTAATTGTCATTTTATAGCTGGTTATCTTATGGTTATAAAGTATAAAATTTTAAAAGTTAGTTTAATGGAATTTTGCAGAACCCACTTATTAGGACAACAAGTGCCACTTAACTTACACGCATATAAAAGTAACAGTAGAATTGATAACATAGAATAAAATAAATTAACTAACGAAATAATGATGTTCACAGCAAACAAATAAAGAGGTTATTAATACATTTACATAACATAATGAACTACAATAAAAACATGAAGTATCTTGTATTAGTTCTATACTACTGTGCAGAATTGCCACCGCTGCGTTGTGTCCTTCTGTCAGCATTATGCCACTTATTAAGACTATTGTCACTGGGTTACTACATTTTCCCGTGAACTCCGAAGAAAACTATAATAATAATGTCTTCTTTATCTCCAGAGGGGGCGGCTTCGACCGCGGTCGAAGGGACGGTGGCCGGGATGGCGGACGAGAGGGCCGCGGCGGCGGCTTCCGACAGGGCGGCGGCGGCGGCGGAGGCGGAGGAGGTCGCGGTATGTACGACCACTTCGACGCACTCGACCGCCGCGGGCCGCGCCTTCAGGGTGGAGGGTTCACACATGGTAACATGCGATACTAACATACTGTTAGAGACTTGCCGATCCATCATACCGTTTGACCTTTATATACTTGAGCTCGCGACTTTGTATAAAGCGAATTTATAACTCCCTCTGAGTCTTCTGTCTGTCTGTCTCGACTCTGTTCTGATGGATATGTCGAGTCAACTCCCTTCTCGGAAATCTTTGTCTAGTCCCATATTAAGAAGAGCTTATAGTAAGGGTACTAAAATTTTAAAATTTTTATTGCTATTATTTATAGCAATACTTAAAATTTTCTCTTTGTACATATAGAAAACTCTCAGACTCATGTTTATTGTGTTTTCAATAAAACTTGCAAAAATCGGAAAATAGGTTAACATAACATTGTGTTAAACTGCTAAACCACCGAGATTGTTTTAAATTATCACTCAAATTCCAATTTGTTACCTTGTCATTGTCGACTTTACTTGTTTTTTTTTTATGTTGAAATTTTATTCTATATATTTATAATTATTTTCCCATTTTGATACCTATAATAGAGTGGGAATGGTGGGAATAAATACATCTAATATTTATTATTATATATATTTATTTACTCTATTATAATACAAAATTCAAAATTGCAAATAATTAGTTTGTTAGTTAACTTTGTTCTAAAACTACAAGTCCTCTAATTATATAAGGAACATTATACTAAATCAGCTATAAAATATTTTGTAGACTTCAAGTGTATCGGTCAGTCTCTAATTCTCATCACAGGTGGACATATACATGTGGTATGGATTAAACGCATCGTGTTTATTGTACTGCTGTTTTTATACATTTCGGATTTACTACAAACTCCAAAATATCCAAACACCTTTCAAATGTTTGACATATTTCTAACCTAAAGTACGATTATTACTTCCAGTCAGTAAAATGACAATTGCAACGGTCCTGATATTTAATACATATCATATTAAATAACACTATTTTAGAAATATGGACCTTACCAACATATAAAAATTTCTCACTACTTTTTCCCAGTATAAAAAATGTATAAAGAGATTCAGAGGAATTAACACTAGAATTTATTTTATAAAAAGGCAATTTGATATTGAAAAAAAAAATGTAATTTCGACTAACTTTTAATTGTAAAAACTCGATCCTACCACATCACTATTTATTTGGGACTAAAAACCTGCAACACTGGAATTAATAATCTTACTTTAGTATTATATCCAGACATTTGTGTTAGTGGTGATTTATCATTGATTGCCAAGCATGTAAATCTAACATTATTTTCTTTTAGAAAAGAATTAAGTATAATGATTTATTGCTTATGTATATAACAACATTGCAATTAATATGATGTCTAACGTGCCACATAATTCAGGCATAGGTTTTGTTTATTGTAACTTATTACTAATTACAACTCATTTGACCAGTTCTTATAAATAAGAATGGAATGGTTCATCAATTATAATGTATATGGGACTTCAATCATTGAAACTCTTCTAAATGGCCACCTTAATCACTAATAATAATGCTTAACACATTGTCTTCTACTATTAAATAACATAATAAAGTTAATAATTTTAACACCGTATATAAATTACTTTTTATATTTAGATGTGGTTTTAAACTAATAATAATTTGTCGGTAATCGCATGTTGCCATGCTGTATGGGTTTGTGTAGGTTATGCACTTTTAGTGCAAATATACTTTTCCTACTGTTTTCTGTAACTTCAAACCATGTACTTTCTATCCCTATTGCAGTTTTCATTAGTTTATTTCTTCTCACTTAATTTTTATAAAGTTATCGTTTAGTTCACAGCATTTTACATACTTAAGGACCGTAAATGAATACTGAATTTACATCTTTGTCTTGATAACTCAGTTACTTTGAACATCTTACTCTGTCTTTTGATATGACATTGTTTTAAGCGAAATTTATAATTTAGTTTAAATAGTTAATGTACACATACTAACCGTTACTTATAGATCTTGGTAGATTATTATCATAGAACGCAATGTATTTTTTTAGTTTGTCAGACTATAGTATGATTTTAACAATAGGCAAATTACATATTTCTCAATTATAAAAGCTACCTGCACTAGCTAGGTGCAGTTTTACAAAATCGTATTGTAATATCGACGCCGTGATGTTCATATAGGTAATGGTTGGCACTTTTCTCAGAAATTAATTACAAACAAATATTTTTTAATATGACCATTTTTAGATATATTTAAGATTATATTGATTTCAGATAAAAAAAAATTGGGTAAATACATACATTTCAAACTCTCTGCTTTAGCTTAAAAGATAAATTGAAAATACTCAATGTTCGTATGTGTGCTCACCTGAAAATGGACTAATTTGCGATACTTTTTGTTTTTAAAGTCAATGTCGAATAATATTTATTCATATTTTATTTCCTTGTGGCCTTCGACCTTTCGGCCTAATATACAAGTCATATTTTTATGACTATTCCTCCCGTCAACTTCGTTCTTGTTTGTACAATAATTATATCTAATAATATCTATCAAAATTAATTAATTACCGTGGATGGTAGACGGTAATGAGATTAAGATTACCTTAAATTATATGTATAAAACCACTTCCTTCCGGAAAGGATGGTGATGATGTTTAAAAAATTCGTAGCGCTGTTCCTGTATAGATACTACTACATAGCATCACGTGGCCGGTCAGATTGTCTATCATTCCAAATTTCATTATTAAAATCTAATGTTCACGATTGTCTTTATGACCTGCAATTAATAAATATTCAGCTGATTTCTGCTTTAAAATCTTTGTAAATAAAGTTTTCCTTTTATCCGAAATTGGACGTGTAAAAATAAAAACTGGTTTTGGAATATACTAATAATCTCCTTCATATAGTATTTGTGTTTGGTAAATTATACTAAACTAATAAACGTACCATATTATCCAAAGTGAACACAATTAATTTGATTGATGATTTGCAAGAAAATAGATTTTTCACAACAGAGAGAGCAGAATGACTGCGAAGAGTCGCTTTAAATATATATGGAAATTAAGACTGTTTTTTTATACTTATTTCATTTTAATTAGCTTCCATTTCGAATGTTCTGTCAAAGAAAGTAAATACTTAAACCAATGTTTATTTATGATTGGCCTAACAGTATATAAAATTATGTCAAATCTTTAGCAAAATATGTTATTTATGACAAAGTATGTAATGTACATAGTCGCACCAAAATGTTTCCTTTTTACAACTATTGTGTTTGGAGCTCCAAAAAATGCGACGTAAATTGAAATTTATTTAAGTAATCGTGATTTAACATGTGTTAATGGAAAAATGTAATGCAGATCGCGAACGAGGAGGCACAGGGCAGGGCGGCGACCGGTGGGGCGACCGCGACGGCGGCGCACGTGGCGACCGCGACTCGGGGCGCGGCTCGCGCGGCCCGTCGGAGGAGCCCCGCGCCGGCGAGTGGGGCCGCATGGGCCGCTCCGGAGGCGGCCCGCCCGCCCCGCGCCCCGGCGGCGGCCCCGGCGCCGGCGGGCCCGGCGGTGGCGGTAGACGTAACTTCGACGATATGCCTCCTTCACGACCGGGTACGTATACTGCGACTCGGGGCGCACCTCGCGGGGCCCGTCGGAGGAACCCCGCGCTGAACTCCGTACCGAATTACGTCGTGGACTGGGAGCTTATATGACTGATCAGAAGTTGTTATTATATCCGATGTCTAGTACCTATAACACGAGCTTTGCTTTGTTTGGGACTAGGTGGCGCTGTGAGAATTTCCCTGTGTTATTTTTATTATTATTAGTTACTTCATTGCTACTGAGTTACACGTGCCGTGAGAGATAAGGATTTTTGCGTATGAAGACTGCAAAGTCCAACTGTGTGTCATTTAGAAATGTACTTGTAGGCTGCTATATTAGTATAGAATTCTATGTACAAAAACTATTGTTTTCTTTTTGTAGACACAACAGGCAGACCAAAACTGAAATTAGAGCCGCGGACTGTAAAAGAGCCAGTGAATTCACTAGCGTCAACCAGCCAGGCGTCTTCAATATTTGGAGGCGCGCGGCCGCGAGAAGAACGACTGAAAGAGCTCTCGGGCGAGTAGGCTCGGCTGCTACGCTCCTCACTACCGCATACTCTTTTCCCGCGTGTACATGTATCGTCCCGACACCCAACTGATCCTATCTGTGTGCCCCGATATTTAAAAGTGCAGACTTAAATTGTATATGAACTCGAAGGATTTTGTTAGGTTATGAGGTTGTAAATCATTTTTATCGTATATTTTGTTAGCTTTATTGTATGTATTGCCAATTGAGCAATTTTATGGAAGCGACCTTTTCCCGCCTTAAAGCGCGAGAATCGGCCGCTCGTTTAGGATCGCAGTATTTAAATTGCTAGAATAATTTGTTTGTTCGTTTTTGTAAATTGTCTCAGGGCTTATGTGTATTGTATTGGCTTGCATTATTAATGTAATCGTTCACAATTTTAATATGGAATATTTTTTGTTATTAATGTGGTGTTACAATGAATGTAATGCAAACAATAATTATTTTTATTTTCTTCATTGCATGTCGCGATTTAAAGAGCTTCATAAAGATTCTCTGTTGTATTTGTTTATCATTTTATTAATTCTTAGTTTGATAGGTCTTGGAAATTAATCATTAAAGGAGTAATTGTGCAAGATATTTTAAGAGTTGATTATACGGTGATGTTGTCATTACGACGTCATAAATGAAATTAACTTCCACGTAATTGAATTTCTACTTTATTAGATATTGTGTAATGTAACAAGTTACGTGGCAAAGAAATTAAAAAAAATCGCAAAATTGTAACAGTACATAGAAAAAGAAATAAAAATTGATTCTTTGTAACCGTGGGTTTGTTTGTTACATCAGACCTTTTCCGAATCCTTGCCAGTTCCTGTTTATATAATTAAAATAAGTATTTCTAATACTTCTATTTCTAACCCATGGGATTATTATTTTACAGAATACAATGTAAAATATAAATTCATGAATTGTACACTACTTTGTAGCACTATATATATCATTGAAATACAAATCATTGAGGTAAAGAGAATAAGGTTTACTCACTTTATATCAGTGATGTATATATCACTCTTCATATAACACATAATATGTGTTTTATAAAGAGTGAAGAACACAAATATATTATAATCGTGTTAATTTTCATTCATAAATTACGGCACACCAATTACAAGCCTCTCCGTTTTAGTTATTTTCATTCAATGCTAAAATTGAACTCTGATGTGGTTGTTTGTGTTTTGGTGGAGATCCAACCCTTTGTTATACAATGTCACGCTTTCCCGACCGCCTCATGTGACGCAATTTATGGATGGCCCCTTATGTATGTTGGTTATATATATATATATATATATACATATATGTACTATGCATGTGAGTGGGTGCAAAATGGGCCTATCAGTCCTGCAGGTTGGTAATTTTAGTTATAATTATCTCCTATGTTTACATGTTTTGACTCTTAGATGGGCTGATGCTAAGAATTTTGAGAATATACAGTTCATCATTTTGAGTTGTGTAATTATATATTCGAAACTAAACACCTGTGTATGTACAAATATCTTTACAATCAAAATATTTTATCTAATGATAAAATATAAGTATTTATTCTCTGTATGTCTTTTTCCTATCAAAATTAATTGGGGCCCAACACAACATTGTAACTGGAATTCAAATTAAAATTAAAAATAATTTATACACAGGACATTTCAGCCGCTTATGAACATCAAATTTTTCCATTATAATTTTAATTGGTTTGGGTGTACTTTGTTAAAATAAAGAATATGGTAGATATGTTGAAGACAAATAAAATATTATGTCATTATAAAAATAATTTATTTTATATATCTAGGTCTTCATCTGGATCTTCCTCATCCCAGTCATCAACAGCATCAGGCTCATAGTACACTTTACTTTCCCCTTCATTTATCTTACTCATATATGGTAACTTCAATTTATACTTTTCAAGTTTCACAGTTTGGTCTACTTCTATTTTGAATGTTGAAAGGTTTCCTGGAGAAGGCTTCTCAGGTTCATCATCTGCTTTAACAGGTTTAATAATGGGCATGCATTTTATTGATCTTGTTGTCTCGTCATAACTAAGTAATTCCTCACTTTCAACACATTTGCCTGCTTTTTTTATGAGTACACTAATTTTGTTAAATTCTGTGACATCAAATGATATCACTGCAGTTGCCATGTGTTTCAAATAATGTCGATGTAACCTCGATGCAGGTAGAAGACAGTCCTTGTGGAACACTAGTATGAGTTTAGTAACATTTTTATCACATATTAGTCTTTTTATACATCTAAAACATTCATTCCAACCTAAACTTATAGTCATTTGATTCACTGAATCTATTATAACACAGCATTTCGTGTTTATATATTTATTATACATGTCAGTCATCAACTGTTCGTAGACAACAATATTAGATCGGTCCGTAAAAACATTGTTCCAGTAGCAAACAGGCTGTTCGTATGAGAAAAAATTAAGGAGGTTATTATCTTGATTCGCTAATTCAAGTAATAAAGGTAATATATTCTTGTTGCTGTCATCTTCAAGTAATATAACAGGTTCTGATTTTAATTTAAATAATGTCATTGTTTCTACTAAAATAATTTATAAACTAAGTATTAAAGCTAAGAAATATAACGACAATAACACAATCACCTAGCACAATACTAATATGACATCACATGTCAGAAAGAATTTATCAGTATCGGCACGTCAGTCAAGAATATAAAAAAAAAACTGTGTGGCCCAATTTAAATTCACGATTGTGCTAAACCCACAACTTAATTGTGCTAAATGTTTTAATAATATTGTGAGTATATCTCGGAATTTTTTGTGAGGCATTCCAAGTTGAAACTATCAAATGAAACTGAAAATTTAATCATAATTTCTTCAGAGATTTTTACATGATACACAAATAGTAATAAAATAAGTGTTAGTTTTTTTTTTATTAATAATGGGATTACGCTTAGTCATACCTCATTTGATGGTAAATGATGGCAAGACCTAGACCAAGACCTTTCACGTCGCGTCGTCACGGTGCAGGCGGCGGTCAACTTTGGAAACCACTTGTACAGTTACATTGATGATTATCAATAGTATTTTATTAAATAAAACAACACCATAATTATATTATTATATACATTTAAACATATTTGAGCGTAAACTTATTATTTTATTAATCACTACTTGGTTTTATTTTTCTTTAAAATATATGTTTTGATATAGAAATCTGAGAAAAGGAATAAAATAAATATGTTATGTGGCAGAAACATGAAGGAAATCCACTTGGGGTACTCGCACGACGGCTCGAACAGCACATGCCCGAAGTGTAATATAAGCAATAGAAACTGCGCCTGAAACATCCAATGTAACTGTGAATGCTTGCACACAAAATTATCTATTTGTCTTATTTAGTTCAGCTGCATTTCGACATTGCGTGGTCCATGAGACAAACAGCCTCATGTACACTATTTATACAACTTTTAGCTATCAGATATACAGGTGAAAGTATTTTTTAAATAAAACAAAACGTAGAAATAAAATAATGTTAAAGAGCTGAATTTATATTTTTTTCTATCTATTTTTTATAACAAGTTGAAGGGTGATATTAGTAAAGCATCAGTGCTGTCTATGGAATAATATGATAACGTGATATCCATAGTTCTGTTCATATAAAGACGTATAATGAACGGTTACCATTTAGACCAGAGGTTCCAAACTTTTTTGTGTCATGCCATATTTTTCGGTTTTGGATAGACCCCCCATTCTTACCTGGTATCTTTTTTGTAATTTTCTAACTGTAGTAAAGTTTAGTGTTAAAAACATAAAGTAAAAACAACAAGATGACCGCTGTCGTAGACCCCTTACACTTTGTCATATACCCCTGGGAGTCGATATGGGTGGTCCATATCGACTCCCAGGGGTTTGGGAATCACTGATTAGACCGTGGACCGTGAGCATGGTTGCCATTCTAATTCCACAAATAAAAAATGCTTACGATTTGCAGTTGCGTGATATATTTCTTCCACCATTGTCGCACCCACTGTGGCCGTACTATTGAGACCAGGTAATAGGAATACATTACAGCATGGACTATAGAATTGATGAAGCCTAACATCACACCGTGGCCACCTGAAATTTATTTTATACTATACAGTCTACCACTGAAATAATTTAGTTTCGGTCCTATGAATTATATTTTGTATAAAAAATCTATATATATATGAAATATAATAATTTCATATTTTTAGACTGCAGATAATGTGGCTGTGTATATCATCTTATATATAAAATTCTTGTGTCACAGTTTTCGTTCCCATACTCCTCCGAAACGGCTTGACCGATTCTCATGAAATTTTGTGAGCGTATTGAGTAGGTCTGAGAATCGGTCAACATCTATTTTTCATCTCCCTAATTTTATTTTTATTTTATGGCAAAACAACGTTTGCCGGACAGCTAATGAATTTAAAAAATAGATGTATATTTCTGCGATGCTAACTAGCTAGGCAATATAATCATAATCATAAAGTACATATAAAATTCTAATAATCGTTGTGTGCTGTTCTAATTAGTAGGTTTTAATTTGTTTTGTCATAAAGATAAATTTAAATTAATGATTTTTTCACAGTACACACTTTAAATCATAACGGCTCAATTTTATTAATTTTCGTAATCTAAAGACAGAAAGACAAACTTCGTATACCAAAGACAATAAAGAACATGTAGCTTGTGTAATAATTGATTGCGGACGTCTGGTGCAACTGCAACATAGTTGTTTTATGATTAGGTATATCTAAACTTTGTATCAATATCTGTTACTGCATATAGTCATCAGTAGATGGTATGCATACTTACCTACATACATCTTTGTTGCACTATTTTATTACAGAATCATTACCTCCGCTATTACATTTTGGTTGTGTTTTTTATAATAAATCAGCGATAATTAGGAAAGTCACGACTTTAAGCTCTTGAAATCAGTTAATAATATAATAATCCTGATGACATATCCTGTGATATTCACATAAATATTGGCAACGAATTTCATACCTGGAATATATTTGGTGCCTATGAATCCGAGCATGCACATCCCCAAATGGTGATAAACATGCAAAAAAGACACTTGCGAGAATTTTTTTCTAAGCACGAAGAATACCTGAAAAGTGAACATTTTTTTAAACCATTTTTCGCTAATAGAGATGTGAGTTCCACGATGAAGTTAGTGTAGAGCTGTACGTTAACATGTCAATAAGGCAGTTGTATTATAAAATACCTAGTTGTTATTATTACTGTACCACGGCTAAACTGGTATTTGCGAAAGTAACAGGGCCATTGTCAGAGAAACAGGTCCATCCGTCCGATAGTTCCTGCGGTAGTCTTGCAAACCACCAGTCGAGCGGAACTGAAGCAAATGCGTGCCCCAAATATAATCGCTATCATTTAAATACACAATAAGTACCACATTGCTGTAACACAATATGAGAGTGATTGAAAAGAGTACCTAACTATTGAGTTTTTGGAGTTTTATGAAAAGATTAATTTCCGAAACTATAATATAATTAGGTACTTATTATATTAATATTTTAAATATTTACAGAGTATCGTGATCTCCTAGAACTTATAATGATCTTTCTGTCTTTGATATCTAATCAAAGACCGAAAGATCGAATCTGATCGACAATATGAATCTCCAGTGATACAATACCGTTAATAAACTAATCCAAGCGATGGTGGTTTCAAATACACACAGCGAATTATGCATATGTCAAATGTATAATTCGCTGTATGTATTTGAAAGGGCCATTGTTCATTACAGCATTGACAGTCAACAATGCCGCTCTCTATCCCATTTGGAATAACTGTCGTTAAGCTGCTAGCTATTTTTGATATTTCGAATTCAGTTACTGTGTGTAATATTGCCTTATCTGTAGCCGTCTGTTGCCGCAACCGTGGACTATACCACCAGTGTGAAACTGAAAAGGGGCTCTATCGGAAGGAGAGAGGAAGGCGCGGAATAAATCCCCCTTTCTATTAAAAATTCGAAATTTCAACCCCTATCGCTACCGTCACTCTAAATTTGATCTGTCAACCTAAAGTCTGCCTTCAGTCGCTCCATAAATCTTACTATGGATTTGGAGTGCCTGCACTTATCCCATTTTTTTGACACTGTAAATAATTACCGCCAATAATTAAAAAAAAAACAATGTGCTATAAAAAGATAATATATAATGAGACATACCGTATCTAGCAAATCAACGATTTTGATCATATAGTAGAGCCAAACGCGTTGAACAACCACTAATTCAAGCGGGCTGTCGTCATAATTAATCTTCTGACACCACATGCTGTAGTAACCGTTTAAATACAGCCTGGTCAGACACTGCAATAAAAACTTTTTTTTTATGTATTTGGAATAACAAACAAAGCTGACGGCCCTCACAGTAATAAGCTGTAACCGTCATATAAATATATACATGAACAGCATTACAGTCATCAAGTTATCATTAATTAAATCATGAACCGCCCATGATGGGCGAGTCATGCTTTTAATGTCAGTATGAGATACACACTCAAATTTCAGAACAAGAGACATAACATCTTAAGTCTTCCAGATGGCAAAGCTTGAGTGGTATCACGGACGTATATAGGCGACGGTTACAAGTGGTAACTTTCAGGCATAATGTGGTGGTGTATGTAGAAACTATGTCGTGTGTTTTCTAGTTATTATGCAGCTTATGTGTTATTCTGATGTAAGTATAAGCTATATATTACTGTAAACATTCATCAAAATCCGTTCTGTAGTATTTACGTAAAAGAGTATCAAACATACATCCATCCACACTCAAAAACTTTCGCGTTTATAATATTAATAAGAAAAACATTTTGCAAGATTAACAACAGTACATAGAAAATATGTACTTACCTCCTTTGCTAAGTATCCAGATAAAAATATCTGCACAATATTGTAGAGTATAATTTGAGTTTTAAGATTATATGGCTCTCGGTTAGCCATAAAAGCAGGCCCCCATGACCGTACAAACTTGTGGTATAAATACATGATCAACAATATTGGTAAGGGACTTGATACCAAAAAAAAATTATTCGTACGTGGGTCTGAAAAAGTATAATCACAGAATACATAAATTTATTAACATTTTAGTGGTAGGGGTTGTTAGTAATCGGTAATTAGTTCTATTGTAGTAGTGCAATGTTGTCAAGTCGACTTCTACACTGTCCTTGTTGAACCGCGTGGTTAAGCTACGATGGTAAATGATATGTATAATAAATGTTACATTATTTCTATGCAGAGACGGCCTCTCGAACTAAGACCGGAGTATTTTACTCGATCTATATACTATTATTACGCCACTTCATATACCTTATCAATATGATATAATATAGAATCTGTATTTTTGTAAGCATAAAAACTAATTCCTCAACAAAATAAACAGTCCTTACTGCAACTTCCTGTTTTACATTATATAAGGTGTGTGTAGTTTACACTTATGTTATGTATAATTATAATAACTTACACGATTAAATGCACAAAACTAAGATTACAAATCGCTTCTTGTTCTAATACACAATCATAATTTTTATACTAGTTTTTGTGTGAACAAAAAATTGTTGTAAGATTCGTAGTTGTAGGTATTTTTTGTTTGTATAATATGGCTAACTAATTCGAATTTGATGCGTCGTTTTTAGATCTCTATCAACTCTTATATTTGTCATATGTTGAGTCGTTAGCGTTTATTGCGAATACCTATATTAGAATTAAGAATACATAAACAAAAAATATTTTATCGAACTATATTACCTTCTACATAAATATAATTATAATAAATGTCTATCTGGAATAATGTAAGAATGCAAATGGAGAATAATAATAAATTTTTAAATCAGATGCAGATATTATGAAAATTTTACTTAAACAAAATATATATCTATATATATTGAATTGAATTTTAATTAAAGATTTTCGCTTATCAATTTCGTTGCAATTGTTCTCTTGTATAATAATTTCAAGTTATTATAATATAATTTTATCAATAAGTATATTTTATCATCAACTTACCTGCTAATTCATCATTTACATACTGGTAATAACTCGTTATATTTCTTATTATCGTCGCCATGGTTCTATCTGAAATGAAAATAAGTGCATATAGTACCTTTTGTCGTCTTTAAGATCTATTTTTTTAACTAGTAAGTAATATTTTCTGTCAGTTTCTGGTAAAGTTAAAAATAATTTATATTATAACATTATTAAAATTACAGAACTCAAAAGGTTATTTTATCGAGCAGGTTGTTGAGACATTTTCTTAATACATTTAAACAAAAAAAATCTTAATAATATTAGTTGAAGTGTTTGTTCTATGCGATTGCTAAGACACGATATATTCTGTATAAACAAAGATATATAGGTACGAATATGTAATAGTAATAGAGTCACAATAGACTGCTAATTCGTTAGTATGTAATTGTAAATAATAATTGGCAATACAACTTTGTAAATCGTAAACACCATTTACAATTCACAAAACAATGCTAATTTTTATTATAATATTTACGGAAGTATACTTACGGTAGATTCGTTTTTATAGACTACAGGTAATGCAAAATTATTTTTGCCATAAAATTACAACTAATAAATAAAAAAATGTTGTTTAAATATTCATGTTTTATTTATATTCCTTTTGATAATGGTACCTTACCTATACTGTCTATACAGACTTATCTATACATATTGAAAAACAAAGTCCAACGGCTGTAGGTATGTATGTATGTTTGCTATAATCGCAAACACTACCCAACGGATTTTCATACGGTTTTCATCCGTCAATACAGTGATTTATCTGAAATGTTTAGCTGTAATGTCCGTTAAAGGTAAATTGTTTGAAATACCCGTGCAAAACCGGAGCAGTCTTTTTATTTTTTGAATAAATTATATATTTTCAGTTATTAAAGATATTTAATAAATTAATATATACTTATACATATTTGTGTGTGCCATACGATTTTTTAGTGGAAGTGTAAATAAGTTACGGCTATTGTGGTAATTCACGCATGTCGCATTGTAAAAAAACGTAGTAAGTATTGTCTATTTAATTTGTGTACAACAACTACAATGACAAAGCATAATTATATAGAATAAATGAAGCGATTCTTTGGCCGTGTTAACAATATACGTAATGTAATCAAGGATTCATTAATATTCTTAATTAATTCCAGTCAATGACATGCCGTAAAGAATTAAACATATCTACATACATTGTGAAATGTTATAATTATTTTTATAGATTTACTCGCCAATTAATGTAAGTATATAATGAGGTCCCAACCTTTAATTCAAAATTTGGACTGAATTTAATTGTGTGCCCTACTTTTGACCCTTGGATCATCTGTTCCCATTTTTACCTTTATACCTAGACTTTGATCGGTTTAAGTTTAATTTAAGTTTTCGGATTTACCGAATTTACTTAACTTGTGGTTCTTTTTGCGAATAGTACTATAAAGATTATAGTAATTATTTGCATGTACATGGTACAGTTTTATATTTTCTTAAATAATAAAAGTACCTTCATGACATGCAGCACCCTGTAGGGGTATGCAAATATTGAAAATGAATTCATAATTTGATACAATATTATGTCGTTACATTTTTTTCATTAAAATATTATAATATATACTACAATTATTTTTCTACCTATGTCAATCGATATTATTACATGCACTCGAGTTCCTAAGTAAATGTGAATCCATACTAATATAATTCATATAATAAATATGAAAGTGTGTTTGTCTGTCTGTTTGTAATTCTACTACTAAACGGCTGACCGGATCTTAATAAAATTTATTATCTCAAAAATAATGTTGAAGGGGTGAAAGTTTCTGCATATGAAAATTGCAGAAATTTTCATCCAACGACGAAAGTCAGAAGTCAGGGGTAACAGGTAGTTGTTGATCATTAATATTCTCGTAGTTTAAACTATTTATGAATGTTATATTACAACAAAAAATATTAAAAAATAAAGTTATATACATATTTTTTTTGCCTTGTAAATGCTCTGATACCTATTGGAGATAGTTTGTTGTCTAGGTCAAGGGTGCTGTTACAGTACCATCGAAGTTCGTCTTTACGCACCACTCTACAATTGAGGTCGACCACAACCATGCACCACTATTGCTAGATACTAAGAAATTGCAAAATTTTTGTAACTGATTTAACACTGTGCCGTGAATGAAACGAAATAATTTAAAAACAGCGAGGGCTGTATTACAAGTCAATTTACTATCAGTCACTGCGAATTTAATACTGATCGCATTTTTGATTGAAATTAATTTATCAAGTTGTATTTTTTATGCATGGTTGGTATGCTGCACCCTCCTGCACTAATGGTTTACGCTGGCGGGGCACCAGGCGAGAATGATAAGGTGAACATAAGGCCAGGTTAGTTAGCCTATCGGGGTAAATTCACCATGAATTAACCTTTGTATTTAATCATAGAATCTGCCATATATATTATGCCTAGTGTAATATAAATGTCAAGTTGCCACGTTTTTGTTTTGGAAGAATAATTTACGTTTAATTTATAGTTTATAATTTAAGAACTCTTATTGGTGGAACTCTTGCCGGTTCTAGGTTGCATTTGTGTACTAAATTAAATAGGGCACTTATATCATGCAAGAACAAGCCTAAACCTAAGCGTGAAAAATAAGGCTGTTCCCACTGCGTTTGTTCATATGATGTGCACTATCGATTACACACAAGGTAAGATAGTTGCCTTATTGATGTTTATTACCTCATAAAACATAAACGCATCACTTTCACATGCAATGGTGCAAATGGTGCAAGCTGTGGTTCTATACATTTCTTATGATATAAGTAGAATATAGTCAGTAAAATGTATTTTACTGACTAATCATAAGAAAATGTAGGTCCATTGAATTAAAATATAAAAGAAAATCTACAACTTCTTCTATCGGGATTTTCTTGATGTTAGGTTAAAACACTACGACGTTTTTTTTCGTTCAATACAGTGAAAATTTGTTGGTATTAAAATTTATTTATCTATAAATATAATAAAAATCTAACTGATCGCTGTCTGAAAATAAAAGATGTATGAGAAATAATATTATTGGTGGACTTTATCAACGTAACCGACTTTAGTAACGTAATAGAACCCAACATAATTATTGTCTTTTTTTCTATATCTGTACGTTTGTGCGAAAGAAACGATTAAACCAAATTGGGTGCTATGTTCAATAACATGTTGAGAAGCTTGAATTAAAATTTTGTGGTTGTATTTTTCGTGATTGACGTAGGTTTTTATAGATACGAAAACTTTATTTATATTTTATTATTATACGAGACCTTTACTTAGCTGACTCGACACAAAGACTATACCTATATGATAGAAAGAGCGTAACCCAATGAAAACACATTACATTTTAATTTCTTTAAGGGCTCTGAATACGCAACAGTTTTATTCCAATCGGTTTACAGTTAAAGGGTCATAAGTTATTGTTATTCCGAATACCACGAGTACAAAGTCACGGAATCAGTTAGCTATATACTCGTAGTATATTTAATTGTACAAGTCATTATCCGCGACTACGCCCGCGTTGACATGATCAGAAAGATTTCGATATTTTCCAAAATCATAATTGGAATATTAATTTCAAACCGAATTGTTTAATTGGGTCTTAGAGTTTGTATATTTGCACAAAATTATAGCTATTAAAAATATATAAACAATGAAAGTAATTACAATAAATATAAATAAAATAGTTTTATAAACTAAATGTTATGTAGAACTTATATACAGGTACCAAATGTATATAATGACTTTATGAAACTACTTTGTTGATTAATTTTTATAAGTTGGAAAATCATGTTACAGATCATTGCCCGCTACTATGTTTATACATATATTATTAGTGATGATTATGAAAAATACATAAAAAAAATAAGTACCTGAACGACGTGTTACCCGACGCAGAATTACGGCAGGATTGAGTGCGCTTGCACAGTTTCATAAGTAAAGCACTGCCGCCACCGACGTGACCGACGTCGTGAATGAATTTAATGAGTTGAATTAATTAGACGTATCCCTCCATTATATGATAACTAACACAACGAAATTTGTAAAATTACAGTGCACCTTTTATTCATCAGAGGAAGTATGAAAGTAGCGCCAGTGTCGGGGAAGTTGAAGAGCAATCGTTTGTCTTGGTATGGGCATGTAATGCATAGACTGAAAAGTTGATTATAAGAGAAGAGGAACTTGAAACGTGATGCATGGACCGTATAAAAGATTAATCTAGATTAATGGCAAGAAAGAATCAAGAATTAGGTAAATGGAGGAAAAAGTAATATCACTCCGATCTCAAATTATTTATACATGAGAAGGAAAAGCAAATAATGACAGTGCACGTTTATTCAGAATATTTTATACCAACTACAAAGTTGTCTTTATAGACACGTGTCTCGACTACGCACCTCTGGCTGCAAGACGCTGGTTTTGCAAGGTGTTTTCAAGTTTAATGGTCATAACAAAGCAATTGCCACAACTAAATGGTGAACTATGCTTATATCATGGTGCAGTTCTTATCTATAAGCGATGGTGACCACTTTCCATCAGGTTGGTCGTCAGCATATTTGCTTTGCCATTACATTCTCATGAATGCTAAAATGCTTACCTTAATTTTATAGTCTCAATAGTATTTTTTATTGGGGGTTTGGGCTATCATCAGGTGCAGTAGTCTCAATAGTAAGTCCTGTAATATTAATTTTCAGTGAAGTTCAGATGTGTAATAGAATTTAATGAGAAATAATTATGGCAAGATGTACGTTATATCAATATCCAATTTAGCAAATACTATCAGTTCTTTTTAAAGCTCAGGACTTTTTAATTCAACTTATTTTTTTGTGTACCCACGATAATTATAACACTTATCAGGTTTTTATTATTCTGACTATTGTGTCCCTTTATAATATATATATATATATATAAGACTTGGCCAAACCACCGATAAGAGACTAGAAAGCTAAAGCTGAAAATGTCATGTTTAGTTTAAACATGATATTTTCAGGATTACCATTTGGATATGTCGATGCCAGACTTTTATTAGTTAAAAATTACATACATAATCTTAATTAATTATTACCAATTGTACGTCACCTAAATCCATTTAATATCAACAGGCTACTCGCCCTGGTTTCGCACGGGTTTACATCTATTGTACATATATACTACACCTTCCTCGTGAATCACTCTATTCCTAAAAACTGCGTTAAAATCCGTTGCGCAGTTTAGAAGATCTAAGCGAACAGACAGCGGAAGCCACTTCATTTTATGCTAGGTAGAGAAGATTAATTAAACGTAAATTCTAATTTTAATGATTAATTTTTACCGAGGTACATTTTTGCGTTTGCAGAAGAATGAGCTATCCATGTAGACGTGCACAACTCTGTCTACATATTTCAACCGCCAAGCAGCTTCCTACGTATGATGTGTTTCGGTTGAAGGATGAGATATGGCAGTGAAATTACGCATGACATCTTAGTTCTCCGGAAGCAATGGCAATGCATGAGCATATAACGTCCGCAGTGCTGTTAGTGTATGTGTATAGTGGTATAGGTGACAGTTACCATTTAAAATCAGGAAGGCATCTGCTGGTATACTTATTCCAAATACATAAAAATTAGTCCATAATAAACATATTTTTCGGAGTATTATCGGTTTCTTTTATGAAACAAAATATTAAATTCTAAGTTCTAGCAAATGTAAGTAGTATCTACTTACTTATAAGAGTGTATATTTCAACAAATCAACTAATAGTCACAATTTTTTGCATACATCTTAGTAATGTTACCGACGGAAAAGGAATTATTTAAAAAATAATATTTGAGCTGTGTTTCCTAGAAATTTAAACAGTACTTATAAGCAGATACTACTGGGTGTCAGCATTAAAAAAGAAACCTAGCTGAAACCTTGGCGAACTGATAACTTCATAACGGCCAATTGCTAACGCTATGTAAAAGTATGTATACAGGATACCGACATGCCTAAATAGCGCAATGGGTAACACGATATTCTTACCGACACCAAGGTTCAGAGTTCAATATCGACAATCAATCGTCGAGGTAATTTACGAAATTTTTATTTTAGACTATGCAAATATATTTAGTTACCCAATTAAAATGAGTTCAATAGTTGACTATAGATTATAACTACATACATATTTTTTACTTAATAACTTATTTATACTACATACATTTTTACTGATTTTCCAGATGGGTTAGCCAATGTCCTTTAACGTCATTTTGGTGAACACAACTCTCGAACATACGATAATATTTGAATACAACACGGCAGGAGGCGAGCTTGTTTGTCGTCGGAGTTGTGATACGATACGATGAGATACGATAATCTGTAACTCCGGCAAGTGCCTCTAAATAGTGTTGTCATTCCGTAAATATTTTGAAATTTATTCCTTAAAACTGTTTTGTATTAATTGCAGTGGACTATAAATTATTTATTCCTCGATATTCAGATCATCTGTATAAACTTTATGTAGTACAAAATTATACGACTGTATTGTATATTTGATATTATAAACATCTTGTTGTTATAAGTAGGGAAACTAAATTGCTGGCTTCTAAAATGACAAGAGCCGCCTAATTTGTCAATTCGCCGCTTAATTTGTCAAAATTTCGTTTATGACGCATATTACGTCTAAATGTTTTAATAAGATATGCGCATAAAATACCATGCCATAATTCCACGATGTACTAAGATCTTAAAAATACATCAGACCAATATCTCAAATCGAACAGAAGTTACTTTATCATACAAAATTATAGGCGAGTATCACGACACGGTACCTATAGTATTATTCCACGAGTTATTAGGATGCAAGAAACACTGGGAGAGCTTAGGAAAAACTATGCTCAATGTGATGAAGAGGTCGGTGATCGCTGTAGATTTGAGAAACCACGGCGATAGTCCACACGTGAGCTCCCATAAGTATGAGGAGATGGCATCGGATGTATTACAACTATTCAAAAAACTATCAATAAATAACGCCTGTCTTGTAGGGCACAGCATGGGCGGTAGAACTTGCATGTGCTTATCATTAATGGCGGTAAGTAGTGCTTATCTCCTTCTAGTCTTTCTTTTTACTTTTTAATTTAGGTTTATTTGAACAAAGAATAGAAAATTCTATTCTTATTTGTTTTGTTTCACTAATCGGTCGTCAGAGGCAATAAATAGCTTCTAAAAAATATAATACAATTAATTGTTTTTGTAAAAGAGGGCAATAAAAACAATAACTACTTATTATTTTGCAATTTTTTTCTGATTAAGATTTAAATTGCATATTATTTCCATATAATATTAGTTTCACCCATCTACATTACTGTGCTGTCTTTTTTATACACTGACGGCGGACAAAACACAGCCTATGAGAGCCTTAAAATAACTTAGTATTTACTATATTTACTACCTGACTAATTATTTTTAAGCTGGCTTTATGTCATGGTAATACGACGCCTTTAAACTACAGCACAAGTTGCAAGATACCACTAACATAATTAATAATGTTTATAAATTTATTCCAAAGCCGCATCAAGTATCTGAGCTTATCGTCGTCGACACATCGCCAATATCGACAACATCTCATTTAACGGACTATTATCCTAAAGTTCTAGCAAATATGAAGGCTGTGGACTTTAAACATTCAAAAACAGTGAGCAAAGCAAGAAAAGACGCTAAAAGAGACTTGAAACAATCAATTACAGATGATACCACTTTATTCGTAGTGTTGTCCAATGTGAACATAAAAAAAGACGGGACCATAGGTTGGACGTGCAATGTGGACGTTCTCATAAAACATTTCAAAGATATAGCAATGTTTCCAATAAGCACGAGGATGAAAAGATATAACGGACCAACTTTATTCATTGGAGGACAGTTTTCAGAATATATACCGTAAGACTGAGTAGCTATAGCTACACATTTTTATACTATCTATAGGTAGGTAGGTTTATTTAACTTTTATTGAATCTTGTTTCTTTAAGGACCTTTAATTTTCTTTCATTACTATGAAATGTAACAACCTCGGTGGTCTAGTGATTTTACACGCCGTTTTATTTCTTATGGTCTCGGTTTCAAACTAGTACGATGTAAACTTTTTTGTATACCTATATGTGATTGTTTCTTTTTATCCGGATGTTGGTTTTTTGTAAATATTATATATCTTAATAATATTATAAACACGAAAGTTTGAGAGTATGGATGTTTCTTACTCTTTCACGCAAAAACTACTGAACGGATTTTAATGAAACTTTACAGTGATATAGCTTATACATCAGAATAACACAGAAATTTCACGCGTAAAACCGTGGACACAGCTACAGCTTACAGAAAGTACTAAAAATCTTTTTATATATGTAGCTTAGCAAAGGGCGGCCTTATCTCTAAAAACAACTTTTAACAGATAACCGGTGAATTGATTTGTGTTATTAATTATTTATTCATCGAAAACATACTACATTTCATTCAATTTTAACATTAATTAGGTGTACTCCTTAACTTGTAATACACACAATAGAATAGGTGTACTACATTTTTATTTAGGTGGATACGTGTGACACGTAATTCTTGCGTGCTAGTTGTATCTGTCAAAGCGTAGTACCAAATGAGGTACAGAATATTTATCATTACGTTTTATTTATTTCAGACCGGACGATTTGACGGGAATTCGGACACTGTTTCCGCAAGCAGTTATCCAGTACGTGCCAAAGGCCGGCCATAATGTTCAAGCCGATGATCCCAAGACGTTTCTCGAGTTGGTCATTACATTTTTAAAAAATACTCCAGATATCAAATAAATTGCTTTACTCGTCCTAAATTAAGCAGTTTCGTTAATTAATTCTTTATGTATCTAAGTTGTTTTAACGCCTATGTTTTTACGATAGCTTGACTGCTTCATGAGAGCTTCATTGTGTTGTGTGATACACACACAATATATATTTCGTAAAAAATCAAAAAGGTCAAATAATTCATTTTACTCCAACTCCGATTACTGTACAACCTTTTTTATTTCCGCAATAACAGTTTTTAGTCCTTCAATCAACATGACAGATGTCTAATGTCTGTCTGTCTGATGTTACTGTTATTTTATTATAAACAAATTGTTATTAAATTGTGTTCAATATATAATTTAATATTCAACTCAATTCAATAGAGAATGGAATGGATATATTGTACTTTCGATATTATGTTTCTTCTTCAATGAAGTATATTTATAACATCAGTCATATCCGTAAAAGGTCAGCCGTTGATTTAGCTCATATAATCCACGGCAAGAAGCCTAAAGAAGGTACACCAATATTTATATTACATGGATTATTGGGCGCAAAAAAAAATTGGGAGAGTATGTCGAAAAAAATTGCTTCTAGTATGCAAAAATCTGTAATAGCTATAGATGCTCGAAATCATGGAGAAAGTCCACATGATCCGTCGCATACTTATCTCAACTTAGCTTCTGATGTTGTTCAGTTAATGAATAAATTGTCAGTGAAGCAAATAGATATTATTGGACACAGCATGGGCGGAAGAACCGCGATGGTGGTTGCTTTAACTGAGGTGAGGTTTTATTACTTTGTTCATTATATTATATGTGTTAGTTATATTTGTATCTTATGTATGTACTGGCTGTGCCCGCAACTTTTCCCGCGTGGACCGCAAAGGACCACAATATTCAGCCGTGGTAGAATTTTTCTCTTCTTCTTCGGCTTGTAGTAATAACATACCTGTAATTTATATTATTATATAGAATCAGTCGGCAATAATACTTATAAGGTAGGTAGTATCGAGAGGTACTAAGTTGGGAGAGGACATCTTTTTTTTTATTTTCTCCAACAAAGTTGCAGAATTCAATCCCATAAGTGGAATATTATATATATATATATAATTGCGTTTAACAGCAGATATTCGTATAACAATACACAGTGAAAAAAGATTTTAAATTTTTTTAATATGTTTTGTAGTCTACAGTCTATGTGTAAGTGTGTTTGTAAACACAATACACAAAAATTATAACTTGGTATGTAAGCTAAGAAAGCTGCATTCAAAGTACAATGGAGCCTACGTTAGACTTCTTCCACTGTACCACTGATATTATCTTCATATCCTGTGCGAAGCAAAGGCGGCTCTTAGTATAGAAAAATATTTTATCAAGTTTATGCATACACTGTTCATGTGTTCGTGATTTCAGCCATTGAAAATATCACACTTGGTCGTAGTTGATATATCGCCAGTGCCCACGACTATTGTTTTGGACAGTGTCTTTCCAAAACTCCTAGATTTTATGAAAACCATTAAATTCCACTATTTTAAAAACTTAGTTGAGGCGAGAGCTGATGTTAAGAAAAAACTTATGGCTTCGGGAGTTATTGAAAATGAAGGAATGTCAAATTTTATCCTTATGAATATTGGCACAAAACCGGATAAGTCTATCGGTTGGAATTGTAATATACCTGCATTGAAAGAGAACTTTAAATACATTGCAACGTTTCCGACTGAAGTATCAGGAAAACAATATTCAGGACCCACTTTGTTTATTGCTGGAAAAGAGTCTAGTTACATTCTGTAAGTATGTCTCGTACAACCATTAGGTACTATGCTTTATGTATCAAATAATATAAGACAAAGTGCAACGAAATTTAAAAAAATCGTAACGTTTTTTAGAAATATTTTTATATCGATCGTTCAAGACAGAGTTATAAGTCACTCCTGCGAGCTAGAAGATTGCCATAAGGCAGAATCAGCCGAAATTAATTAAGTGTAAACTCTGATTTCCAGAAACGGTAGCTTTATTTTTGTTTTCAGACCTTCACACATTGATACCATTTTAAAGTATTTCCCAAAGGCAGAGCTCAAGTATGTTCCAGGAACGGGACATAATGTGCATGCTGAAGACCCTAGCACATTCTATAACTTAGTCACACAATTCCTATCTAAATAAATTTATGTTTTTAAATATATATATTGTTCTATTTCTAATAGTTGGTGACTTTTTTGTAGAAATTTGTCATACAGTTCGTTCGTTGGGCGGATGACGACATATTAAGACAAAATTAGAAATTGGGTGGATTTACGTAAAACCGAACGGTCTTGCAAAAACGATTTTGCTGTAGTTGTGGACATTATAGAAAAATATTATTACATTATAATGTACATATATTGATATTACTTTATTTAACATATCAGTAATTAATAACATATGACATTAGGAATTTTTTGACAACTTTAAATTTTATAAAAATATTATAGTATAGTTTATAAATAAATATTTAAAATTTCTTGTATGCATTTGAAAGTGCTCTTGTAGCAAAATTTCCCGGAAAGAAGTTGTCAATAATTTACAAGTATAATTCATCAGTTCTGTCAGTCGTCTCATCAGTCGGATTCATTGTATTATTATGGCTGTATGGGCGCAGTTCCCTTTGCCTTTCCTATAAAGGATAAACAGAACAAAAAAAAAGTATTATTATTTAATTATTTTTATTTAGTCATAACATAATTTTTATAAATCTTTTTACATCAAAATTATCTTTAATTTTTTAACAATACCATCAATTACTGTCTCTAAATAAAATGCTTGTAACTAAATTATGTCCTAGAAATTTGTTCATCGTACATAGTACAAAATTAATGCCGCATATTTTAAGAAGAAATTATGCGTCCAACTTTGATAATTCAGACACGGTAGATTTGGCTTATGCTTCCTATGAAAGTACTTCTGACTGTGAGATCTCGTCGAGACCACCTTTAGTTATTCTGCATGGGCTATTGGGTTCGAAAAATAATTGGAACAGTATGAGTAAAGCAATACATAGAACGACTGGGAGGAAAGTTATTAGCGTAGACGCTAGAAACCACGGAGACAGCCGGCATTCAAATCAGCACACCTACATACACATGGCACACGACGTGATGAAACTCTTGAAGAAGTTGGAGTTATCGAAAGTTTCTGTTCTTGGTCACAGTATGGGTGGCCGCACTGCCATGGTGTTGTCCCTACTATGTGTAAGTTGTACGTAGTTTTTTTAAAGTTTATTTTTTTAAGAATCTGTACCTATCACTATTAGCCATCTGCCGCTAATTATACCTACCTATTTAATTATCCATTATTATTAATTATTATAGTATCACACTATATCGGTCTTCTTGTTGGATGTTCTAAATTTTGTAAAAAAATATAGCAAAGAGACATTTCATTCATCATTAATTAAGTAATAAACAATAAGTATACCAAAATAATTACTAGATACCTATAATTCATATCACATACAAAATATAATATGTAATAACAAAATTAAATATGTAAATAGAGTAAAATGTATAATTTCAGTCGGACCTAATATCAAGCATGATAGTAGTAGATATATCACCAGTGAAGACGAGTCCACAGATCTTCTCCATGGCCAACTTATTTGATGCAATGAGCTCTGTTTCAATAAGGTCTGGAATAGCAATGTCCAAAGCAAGGAAACTAGCTGATGAGCAGTTGAAAAGTATAACTCCTGATGTGAATTTGAGGAATTTTTTAATAACTAATTTGGTCCAAACAAACTCTGGATCATATACATGGAGAGTGAACCTACCAGTTCTAAAAGATAACTTCCAATCACATATATCTTCCTTCCCATCAAACTTAAGAGGCCTACAATACTGTGGACCAACTCTATTTGTGGGTGGATCATTATCAGATTACATTGGGTAAGCATTACATAGGTGAATTCCTCCTCCCCCCATACTTCAATTTATCTGTTCTTAGTATAACAAAATTTACTTCTAAAAATAAACATTTATTATTTTTACAAAGTGTGTAGAATTAATAAATGCAAAATATCTTTTTTTGGTATCTGAAATTCATATAATTGAATTTAAATAAGTAAATTATATACTTGCTAAAATTAATATTTAGTATTATTTTTTTGTAACAATTTAATTTATTTAGTAATTTATTCAACATTTTTTACAGAAAAAATGATTTACGGGAGATACAAGAATTCTTCCCATTAGCTGAATTAGTCTTTATAGAAGGCGCAGGCCACTGGGTGCACAGTCAGAAGCCAGAGAAATTTCTAGATACAGTCTGTAAATTTTTAGATGAAAAGTAATTATGCTATTATATAGTATAATTTATTGTGATTGTTTAAATTGATAGATACAATTGTGATTTTAAATAGTTGTTGTTGATGTGCCATTTATTGTTGTTAATTTAAAGTTATACATATTATAGTAAAGTTATATAAAAATTACAATTGATATTATTATATACCTATCTACTTCTAAGTGGGTTCATTGAGTACTGTACTGGTTTTAAAGGTGAGAATGGCAAAGAAAATGCTGAATATTGTGATTCAATCCTAAAACGCAATGTGTCTGTTACTATTACAATGCTTCTATCAGAAGGACAGTAATGTCGCCTCTATTTTTACAATTACTTACCATATAGGCTCACTGCGGAGACCATATACTTTGGTGGATGTACTTGATTGCCATCCTCAAAAAGCAAAATAAATTCACCATATGTCGCGGCGTTATCTACATTAGAAGGTATTTAATTCATACAAGTATTCAATGTGACTAGGACAAAATTTGACATGAAACATGATATTAATAAGTCCTATTAATTAATATTATAAATGTTTGCGAGTATGGATGGATGTTTGTTATTCTTTCACACAAGAACTACTGAACGGATTTTGATGAAACTTTACAGCATAGAGCTTATACATCAGAATAACACATGGGGTATAAATTTTACGCTGGAGAAGCCGCGGGGACAGCTAGTTATGAATAATTTAATCCATATATCGAATCCGTTCCACCTTGATTGAATAACAAACAACCAAAAATGTTTGCAAACCCTCACATTAATTAATATCAAGAAGAATTTTAATAAAGAATTGATACTTTAATAAAACTAATAATTAAGTTTACACGTAAATTATAACTGTTATCCTTGTTTTAGCTATTTCACGCTAGTTTGGGAGTCAGGACTGCAACAAACTCAAATACACTAATGGTTTAAATAAAAAATATTAGTTTACGAAACACCGCATTTACTCAGGATTGAAGTTGTGTCCCCTTAAAAAATAATTCATATTCACAATGACATAGTAACAGGGTCTGATAACAGGCCGTAGTTACTGTAGATTAAAATAGGTAAAAGCATACCGAAACATTGATAGTGGATGTGGTTCGTTGGAGGAAATTGACTAATAATTAACTTATCAGTAGATAAGTTAATTCTCACGTTGGCGAATATTTTTTTGCCAGAACAACAAATTGTCATCAGCATGCACCGTGAAAAGTACCAACCATGTCATCATGTAATGCTAGTAGTACCTCATATGCGTTGGCATTTCGGACTCCGGATGACTAAGACATCATACGTCTGTACCTTGTGATTTCCCTATCTTATTTCAACCTTCAACTGAAAGCAAGCTGTTTGACAGCACAAATATGAGAGATATACCTCATATTTACTTCGCTCGATAAACGCAGGTTCGATTCCCGCACATTTGAATTGACTGTTTAAACTTAGGTCATTTACTACTGACTGCGCCCGTGTCTTTGTGGATGCTATTTAGTTTATAAATACGCATTACTGCGTTTTTTTTTTACTTTATGTGTGTGTGAATAACATTAAAAAGTTATAAAAAGCCAATAAAATATTATAGTGAAAACCGCATTCAATTTATAATGCCATTGATATATATATATATATATATATACATAATATAATAAACCTACAGATGTATAAAAAATATTTATTTTTTAATACACTTATGTATGATATATAAAATGCTAATAACATTTTACAAATAAAAAGCGAAAGTTATAAGTTCATACAAACTTACATTTTGTAATTAAGTATGAAGTTTTCTTCTATGAGAATTGATTAGTTTGGTCACCCCTGTATTCATTCAAACTAATCATGATTTCGCACAAAAAATATCTGCCTAATTATACCAATACTTTGTGGTTGGTGTGGTTTTGCACTCCGCGTACAATGTTGCACCCCAGACCATAAATAATTTTATATAAAAAAGACACATTCATTGAATATGCTATTCCAACTTCACAGTACGCTGTGAAGTGAGTTTTTTTAAGTATATAAACAAATATTATAATTATCATTAAACATTAAATTATATAATCATATTATTGAAATCTAATAAATAAAATTCGTTACAATGGCGGACCGTGTAAAGAGTTTCCAACTCTTGTTTGATCGTCCCAACGAACCTTTGATCACACCCAAAGGCGAAAATGGAGCAATATTCCAACTTACTCAAGATCTTTTGGTGAGTTACAAATAACTATACTACTAGTACTTAAGTATATTTAATGTATAGTGTATTTTACTCACTAAGGTAGACTCTGTACAACTGTCTGCGTCAGTACCTCGGTCTTACCCATCAGCCACCATGCAAGTTTGCTTTGTGAAGTGTTTCTGTTGAAGGGTGATATGCTACTAAAATGATGGGTATGGAGGCATGTCACATTCGAACTCAATGACAACAGAGAAGTGGTACAACGGACACTATATGACATGATATCCGTGTTGCTGTTAGATATAGGTATAGGTAACACTTGCTACTTAAAATATGGGCCAAGAACTTGTTTATCATTTTAATTATATAAAAAAAGGTATTATACTAACATTTTGTTCCAATAAAGACTAAAATCAATAGCGAAATTGTAATATTGGAAATAGAACCTTGTCTCATCTACGTTTATGTAGGTACTTATTTGGTATATATTTTTGAATCTCAGTATCCTTCAGTCTATTCTCTATAATACAATGTACTTGCATCTAACAAATTACCCAAAATTAACATTATATTATCGACAGCGAAAATAGTTATTCGGTGAAATTTCTCTAAAAAGCAAAGAGTATCTTTTAAAATAACTTTTAGAACGTTTCTACTAACTGCGAAATTACATGACATGAATTTAGTATGAAAATTAATCGATTTAGCATGAGTGGTATTACGTATGTCACATGACAATGTGATGTCCCTGTTTATGTATATAAGCGACGGTTGGCGCTTACCATCAGAAGGGTCGTTAGCTTGATTGCCCTTCCAATTACATAAAAAAATTATAAAGTGTGACAATTGCAGAGATAACTTTGTCACTCTTTTTGCTTCCATTTTGATATATTTAGGATTTTTTTATTCAAAACAATATTTGCAATTTACATAAAAAATTACAAAGTCTTTTTGTAAAGGTTCTGTTCTATGAGTATTCGACCTGGCCTTCTCCTTAGTATACCTTTTATAATATAAGATGTAGAGGATATAAACGCACTTATATGAAGCCCGTTTTTTTTTAAATATGTGTCAGCCCGTGGACTATGAGGACAATGGAATCGCGCTAAATAATCGTTTCGGTGAGGACGCGGATGAGAAGATCTCATTGAAACCATTATCCAATCCTCCGCAATTCCCGATAGCGTCGCAACTGCCTACCGATGCCGACTTCTCGCTGTTCCTGCCAAAGCATCAGGAGATGGCCACCGAAGTTATTGACACACTCATGAGTAAGTATGATGTCCAAGATTATTTATTACTGTTCAGTTTTTATACTGGTTGTACTTTATAATTTCAATTCAACTTGTATATATATTAAAGTATACTCCATTAGTAGTATAGTAGACGTGTTACCTAGTATGACACTATAAATGCGATTTTGTTTGGTATACTTTCATATTTTAATGGATTAATTAACATATCAAAAAACCGAGTGCCATAAAGACAAGTCCATAATAAATAATAAAACAACTATTTTCCTACTTAAATCATAGGCTTTTTATTCATACTACAAACAATATACATATAACATTTATTATACTATTTACAAATAATTCGTACGATTCAGATATTCCTGAAAACCAGTTAGATGATCTACTGTCATCGTGTGTTTACGCTAGAGGACGTCTTAACCCACAGCTATTCAACTACTGTTACTCAGTTGTGCTGATGCATAGGTATGTAAAATAAATAATTTATAAATAGATTTTAAGATCTTATTAATTTTAATTTAAAGCCAAGTTACACAAGAGTAATACACATTTACAATTGCAGAGATAACTTTGTCACTCTTTTTGCTTCCATATTGATATATTTAGGATTTTTTTTATTCAAAACAATATTTGCAATTCTGAGTCTATAAACTTACTTTTATTTAAGTGTCATTAGAACTAATGTAATAGGTAGGAAAGTGAAAACTGCCTTTGTATTCCATAATTTAAATAGCATGTGTCTAATTATATTCATATCTCATTATACATATGATTATCATAAACTAATTTGTTACAGACGTGACACCAGAAATGTACCAATCCAAAACTTTGCAGAGACATTCCCATCCAAGTTCTTGGACTCACAAGTATTTGCTCAGGCGCGCGAGACAGCCGCAGTATTCCCCCGTGGGGTTCCAGTAAGAATCAAATCAAATTATATTGATATCAACTTGTGACTTATTAATACAATGTTAATTGGTATAACAAGGTCTGGCTATAAAATTTTCTTACATGTTGCAAGCAGTTGCTATTTTATTATTTCAACATAATTAACTATGGCATTAATGTGCCAAATTATGATAAGATCAGTCAAAATGCTAGAAAGAAATTAATATAAATATGCTACTACAACTTATATGAGATTTGCCATATTTTGTATTCCTTAGTAGTTGTTGGAATTTAAGATATTATTTACTTAAAATGTCTTTTCCTTTGCCACCACAACAGTTATCACATTTTTTATCTGTACCCGAACAGAGAAGAGGTTTATAATTAGGCGTCCATGGTCCAAGGCTATCATTTGAATAGAAATCCATAGGATATGTGCCATCTCTCATGAGCCATTTACTATTACCCAATGTAACAGAAAATTCATATGGAGTCAGCAATGGCTTAGAAAATGCTGTACCCCAGTCAATTGATAAGCGAGGGCAAGCAACTTGAACGAAAGCATCTAATTTAAATAAAGACAACTTACTGGGAAAAATCTCTGATAGTAATATTTTCACATATTTCCTATTTGAATTTTGAATTTGTTTCTCTAAGTTGCTTAGTACTTTAGTGCTCCCTTGCCTACCGAGGGTGCCCAATATAAGACCAAAGCTACCTGACTCCTCTGCTATTTTAATCTGATTCTGTCTATTAGTTTGCATAAGTTCATGTTCATATAACTCTGATGTAAACTTCTTATCATAGGGGTCATACTTGTAGGCAGGTATATTTGGATTAGCTATCATGATAGACTCTAAGTGAAACCTACCATCACCTAAATATATTATAACATCACTATTTAATTTGGGTGCAGTGCAACCTAATATTTCACCAGGTGACAGAGGCTTGCACTGTGGAACAGTAACTATATACTCTTCACTTCGAAGGTTTTTAGCAACAGAATGTAGAGTCGTCACAAACTGTATTGTACTAACTAATGCTAGGTGTGTTCTTATAGGAAAATTTAGTTTAATTGTTTCTACAAAGTGAGAGGGATCTATTTTGATATCAACAAATATATAAAGCACCTTGACATCACTAGTTTGATCTATGGGTATCAGGCAGGAGTGTCCATAGTGCACGAGTAGATCGACGCCAAGTGCTATTGCAGTGTAGTCATCTATGCAGCATGCTCCGTAGGTCACGTCGCCCATTATCACAGTGTCCGCATTCGTAAAAGCCTCTATAATATCGCATAGCGTTGTTGCGAACATTGTGAGACCTAAAATTATACATTAAAATTTTAAAAATATTACTACAGGTCGTATTATAATAGTAAAGTTATTAAACAATTAGAGTAAAAAATCTTACCTTCTGGCATTTGTAACGCCACTCTTTTCGCATTCAGGGACTGTATCCTCCATATCGTCTTGTGAACTTCAAAGTTATAGTTTTGTGGTAATGATTCACACGCTATGTTCAACAAAGGGTTCTTCAACAATTCATCAGGAATTTTATTTACTGATCGTATATTAGGTTTGAAAGTTTTTCTTTGCCCTTCGGGCTTTGCTCGGACTACAACTACACCTGGATTTAGAGCAAACTCTTCCATTTGATCATTTATAAAACACACATCACACAAGATAAAAATTTAATTTTATAAATAAATCAGCAGGTTACTTTTAAATAACAATCAACACGCGCGCAGTATTCTTATATGGCCTACGTGACTTTTGCAAAAGGAAACGTTCCGTTAATTGTTTAAGTTTGCAAAAGCATCATTCTGCTTCTACGGTAGCAAGATTAATTGTACTATAGAAATATGTAAGATATGAACTAGGTCATAGATTAGAAAAAAAAAGGACATTATCATCAGTTTTTGTTTTATAATATACAGTAATAAATATTTTAAAATTTCTAAATTAGCACCAAAATATTTTCAGCTTATAAAGGATTGTAACTAATTGACAATGTGTTAAACTGTCATGTCAATGTCACACAAAAGTGTCAATGTCGTCACAATCAGTGTTGCCAGTTCAAAGTATTTTACTTTTTATTCGGTTAAATATATATTGCAGGTTTCATATTAACAATAGGTTTTGTTGTGAATATGAAACCTGCATAAAGTTATAGTGTTTTACTTATTTTGCGACATTACAAAATTTTCACCCTACAGATACTCCTATGATTCTACTATAATTTCAGCGTACTCCGATCATCATTCCAAGAGATTATACTGCGACGGATCTGGAAGAAGAGCACCGGCTTGCATACTGGCGTGAAGATATTGGGATCAATTTACATCACTGGCATTGGCATTTGGTGTATCCGTTTACGGCCAGCGACAGAGCCATCGTCGCTAAGGATCGTCGTGGAGAATTATTCTTCTACATGCATCAACAAATCATAGCCCGGTACTTATCTACTTATTTATTTTTATAACAACTTGATAGAATAGAGCTTTTAAAAACGATTTGTATGTTTTTTTTTTTAATTTTTACTCTATTATAAATTAATCGAAAATGTTTTCTATTTACCTGAATAAAGGGGAACGTAAGAAATGTTTCATTTCTTTCTAGATTTATTATGTTACGTAATATCTTCGTCAGAATGAATACTATTTTTATTTTTGAACAAAATAAAAAAATAGTTACAATGAATACGATACATACATGCGTTTTTAAATAAATGTTTTGTTTGTTTTACCTCGGTGGCCAATGACCTAGCAATTTAGCAATCTACTAATTAAATATTAACTAGTATTAATTGAAATTAATTGTATTCTAGTATGTCTATCAGTTGTATAGAACCTATCATAATACATTATTTTTTAATTTAACAGTTTCAATTGCGAGCGGATTAATAATTCTCTAAAGAGAGTAAAAAAATTTAGTAACTGGCGTGAGCCGATACCCGAAGCTTACTTCCCGAAGTTAGACAGCCTAACATCATCTCGCGGCTGGCCCCCGCGACAGGCTAATATGACATGGCAAGATCTAAACCGTCCCGTAGATGGATTGAACGTCACTATTTCTGACATGGAACGCTGGAGGAGGAACCTGGAAGAAGCTATCTCAATGGGAGTTGTCACATTGGTAACTAGTGTTGAATAGTTTTCAGGAAACTGAACAACTTTCCACAAGAGGCGAATAAATTGTGGTCTTGTAATAAATTGTGAACTTGTGGTCACGTGATCTATTTAGTACCTATGGAAGTTTAAAATATTTAAATCCCTACTTTTTGGGGAAATTTACTCATTTTCACGAAAACTGTTATTGGTTTGTTATTTGGTCTCTGTAGATTTTATTACTAGACTTCCATGATGCGATTGATAATTTTATGTAGGTATTTCATTAAAATTGATAAAAAATATATTTCATTGAAATTTTATCTATAATAATTAATATTATCATTGGGTATCATTCAGAATGTACTTTAAGCAAATTATGTATATTCAATCTCTGAAATGGCTGGACCGATTTTGATGGGACTTTTGTTGGCAGGTAGCTAATGTAATAAGGAGTACTTAACTGAGGCTACGTTTATTTTAGAAAAATTCTCTAACTTCCACGCGAATGAAGTCACGACTACAGCTAGTTATAAATAACATAAATGTAGGTATTTAAAATTAAAATTTAATTGGACATTCGGTGTATGAGTTGAATCGATTTACCGAGTTTTCTTATTTTCTACTTTTAGTAAAGCACACTTACGCTATTGAAATTCAATTACTATTACTTTATTGTTTTTTGTATGTTAACAAAAATACCTACTTTCAGCCGAATGGATCAACGCAACCTCTAGATATTGACACGCTGGGTAACATGGTGGAGGCTAGCATCCTGTCTCCCAATCGGGAACTCTACGGAAGTGTACACAACAATGGACACAGTTTCTCTGCATACGTCCATGATCCGAGCCACCGCTATCTCGTAAGTAATATTTTTATATTCTATACCACTGCCTCTTGACAAGTTATAGGATGTACTTTTTATATTCTACTAGCTGACCAGCATATATTGTTTTGCAATATAAATTAAAATCGCCATTAAAAAATAAGAGTGTTTTTTGTTAAAAGGTAGAAGGGTGAAAAATTTTGTATGTATTCTTTAATGCCACGTTATAAATAATAATAAAAATAGTCCAAAAATAAATGTTAGGGATGGAGAACCCTTATAACTTAGGGATATGAAAAGTAGATAGTAGCCGATTCTCAGCCCTATAGAATATGCATATAAAATTCTGTAAAAATTGGTCAATTTGTGACACGAGGATTTTATATATTAGATTTGTATTTTACTGGAATGGCAAGCTCATAGCACTACAGTCCGTCACATCATCAACGCCGATACGTTACGCATATGTGCCACAACGTGTGACGGTACCATATGTTCTTGCTTTGCCATTCCTAAGGACCAAGTTATTATGCCTTTGTACTCTGTAGCTTCACTGGTATATCTCATCCTTGCAACAACAAATTATTAGGCGGCTGAAGTAGCTGAGACAGGGGTACCCATTGTTGACATTGTAGTCTCTCGCTCTTACCACACTATTGTAACTGAAATAGGAATCTTTCGGCGTGATCGCCGATGAAGCTACAACGATGCGCGATCCATTCTTCTACCGCTGGCACGCGTGGATAGACGATCTCTTCCAGAAACACAAAGAATCCAGCTTCGTACGCCCGTATAGTCGCTCCGAGGTAAGACGAAATTATTTAATCCGGTACATAGTAATTTACAAATTCTGATAAATTATCAATAATTTACGTTGCGACCTAGTGCTTTACTTTCCCGACTTGTCAACTGGATTGTGCTAACTTACATATTTCATATTGATTTCTACAGCAATATATACATACAAGGATAAAACATTCTTCAGTTATCCGTGAGACTACGATGTGTGCGCCATTTGGTCCGTCAGACTCAAATATACCCAGCGAGATACATGTCAAGTGTTGCGTATATTTCGCTGAGTATCTCTGTGACTACACCATCTTTAATAATTGCAACGCCTATTTTTTATCTTTGAATGTTATTTTGCAACTTTATTACACGTATTGTATTACAGTTGGAGAATCCTGGTGTCCAAGTGACTTCAGTAAGTATAGAAACACAGGGCAGTCCGCAGAATGTTCTCAGTACATTCTGGATGTCTAGTGACGTGGACCTCTCCCGAGGACTGGACTTCTCCAACCGTGGTCCCGTGTACGCACGGTTCACCCATCTTAATCACAGGCCTTTCCGATACGTGTGAGTAATGAAAAACACCTAAAAACTAAACCTATAGTCAGTGGCGAACTAAGGCTAAAGCGGGCCCTAAGCAATATTATAATTCCGGTCCTATTTTTAAGTCACAGTTTTAAAAATTACGGGCGCTAGGCACCTGCCAAGGTTGCCTAGGCCTTAGTCCCACCCTGTCTACATTTTTCTGAAAAAGTAAAACAAGAAATTACTGAACATCCTTACATATCGCGCTCTAAATAATAAAAGCATTGATTAACAATAACAGGGAAAATACACTTTGCTAATACTTCAATTTTCCAAACCGAGTTACTGTGATGGTTTTTCAACATACCTTTAGATCTTTTAGGGTGGACATAATATGCCTATGATTTCAGATAGGCGAGACTTCTAATAATCACTATTGCGTATTTACAGCATCAATGTGAACAATACGGGCAGCGCCCGGCGCACCACAGTACGGATTTTCATCAGCCCGAAGTTTGATGAGCGCAATTTAGCGTGGTCACTGGTTGACCAAAGAAAGATGTTCATAGAAATGGACAGATTCGTAACTCCATGTAAGTATTTTATTTATTTATTTATAGCTGTAATACTGATGGTAAAGTTAATATTGGTTTTGTTTATTGCTATTAAACTGTCTAGGGTTGTCAGCTTGCCCTAAGGCATAGAACTTTTTTATTTGGAATGAAATTATGAGTGTTAGGTTTTAAGTAAAAAATGTTAACAATTTCAGTGAATGCTGGTCAGAACACCATCACGCGTCAATCTACGGAGTCGACGTTTACGATTCCATTCGAACAGACGTTCCGTGATCTATCGGTTCAAGCTGATGACCCACGTCGTGCCGACCTCGCGGCATTCAACTTCTGCGGATGTGGATGGCCTCAACACATGCTCGTTCCTAAGGGAACGGAGGCTGGAGCGCCTTATGCGTTGTTCGTTATGCTCTCTAACTACGATTTGGACCGGGTACGTTTTTCTTATGGACTGATGAAATGAACGAAGAATGGATGTAAAGTGACAACAGTAAACCGTTGCTTCACGAATATATCGCCATGTAATCCGTGGGTATTATCAAGGAACAAGTCTCATACCTCTCCACCTTGTTACTTCACTGCCTAATCTTACCCTTAAACCACAAACACAAAACAGTTTACCCCGATAAAATTAATGAGCTCATCTATTTAGCATCGCAATCTAGAACCCAAAACGATGTTAAAATATTGTCTGTTTGTGCGCGCTAATCCAAGATGCCACTTAACCAATTTAGGTGGAGTTTACACTACTGTATTGCGGTAACCTTTGCCTACAATTTAGTTTTGTTTTATTCAGATCGGTTAAAAGGAAAGCTATATGTAAACTATTATTATTCCAAGTATCACGTATACTAAGTCACAGGATGAGCTATTATAATACAGCGTTATTACACAGATTGACGAGCCCGGCAGCGTTGAGATTTCCTGCAAGGAGGCGTCTAGTTTCTGCGGTCTACGCGACAGAAAGTACCCGGACAAGCGCGCCATGGGTTTCCCATTCGACAGACCATCACGCACAGCCACTAACATCGAAGACTTCATATTGCCTAACATGGCACTGCAGGACATCACCATTCGTTTGAACAATGTCACAGAACCTAATCCTAGAAACCCTCAATCCTAAATTGCAACTTTTTTTAGGTACTCATCAAAGTAATGAAATATTACAACAAATTCATATGTAACAGAATACTATGTGAATATGTTTATTTTATTTTTCAAGTATTTAATATTCTTGTGGCATTAATAAAATGAAAGGCTGGTAATTAGGTCTAGGCTTATGTATTAAATATAAATGTACATATTTAATTTAAGATATTTACTGTAAATAATTGACCCTATTTGTAATACTTAATACGATACTGGATTTAGAAATAAAGATATGCAAATACATAAATATGTCTTTATTCCAAAAACCTAACATTACAATTTTCCTTTAGGTATATAAAGAAGAATTTAGGTTTCGTCCTTTTATTATAATTATATTAAAGTAACTTGTATAATAGTGCTATGTATACAATCAAGAAATAAAATGCTTATACCGCCGGCTGTAAAGCCAGATAATTCATTTTTCTTGTTCTCAACTTTGCCTCTATCAATATTTTCTATTTAAGCAATGTGATGTTAAATTCTTGACAACAGAGTTCAAAGCTATGACACCACGTTTTACAGCCTACTGGTAGTTGAACCTGCTGATTGCAGTTCAATACATTTTAAATGGCCTTTTTGAAAACACAATTACTAAATTAGATACTCTAGTGGTTAAAAAAATCACTCCTTAATTAAACTTAGCTTTAAATTGATAAATTAATTTATATCACACCCGTATTTAAGGATTCTGGATTAAGCGAGTTAGGAAAACATAAGAATAATGGGAAAATAATGAATAAAGAAAACAACAAATAATTAATAAAAATATTTATTTGGCCTTAAAATTATGATTCAATATTTTGTGTTCTCTACCCTTGTTTTTTAGTTACCATTATATTACAGGAGCCCATTAAATCTGTAAAAGAAAAAAAATGGTATGAGAAATAGTAATAGTAAATTTGGGATTCAATTAGTATAAATTAAATATATCAGGCCTATCATTTAATATCACGTTATTATCAATATAACACATAATCGGCTCGTGTTAATTCTCATCATGAACTTCAACAAAAATTGTACTAGTGTTTCTAAGGAATTTTTACAATTTGATTTAATTGAACATTAATTAGGTACATGCATAGTTCATAGTATAATGTTTAACCTTTTTATATTGGAACACAGCCAGCTGTTATGACCTGCAAAGAAAAAAAAACTATACTTAATAGGTACATAATAATAGATAATTAAATTTTAACAATTTTCGTTTTTTCAGCCCTATCATTTATTATCACGTGTTATTCATAATTAACACATTTCGGCTCGTGTCTGTTGTCATCATAAAATTATAGAAGTGCATCGGATTATCAAAGACGTCATCGACAAGTTTACTGGCACGCGGTTATCTGAACTAACCAAATATCGTTATCTTCCCACTTGTAGTTTTAAAGAAAAGCTTATCAAAAATCAATATCGCATCGAAGTGTACTCTTATCTAAATAATAAGCTATCTATTGAACGTAGATAATACCACATTAACTTTTAAAAATCTGTCTACTACCACGTGGGTCGCAATTTGAGCATAATAGAAAATTGGAAATAATCAAATTTACGCATGACTAATTTATACTAACATTATGAAATGTAAAAAAAGAATTTCAGGTATGTCTTACCAAATTCACTAATATTTGTTACGATGTAATTTATGAACAATAAATTTTTAACACTGTGCTTTGCAGCTAATTGAAAATGATTGGAAAGCAAAGCATAAGAGCTAAAGAGAAGAACGAAATGAACGAAAGTGTTGCCTACACGCTTTTAAATTTTTGGCTTAAGCTTCAATTTGATAAGTTATAAATCATTGAATGGGCTATGATGGGGCAAAAATTAAAGTATTGGGCTTATTCTCTAATTAAAACGTATGATTTTAATTATAAAATAAGCCTAATAGTTGATTAATTTATTAAGTTATTAAATTTAAGTATTCTGTAATTGGTTATTTATTTACAAACCATTCTCATCCTGAAAAAGACTTCTTGGTAAAGTCGAAACAATTATTGCTAAACACAAAAACATAGTAAATTCATTAAAGTCCGTACATTGTATATATATTTTAAAATATATATGGTACATTATAGTTTATTAATTTTAGTACTTTGCATTCTTTAGCTATACCCAATGCTATTGCTATTAGCGCAGACGGAACCAATACTTCATTGTCAATTTGACATTAAAATACAAGAAATTAAAATGTAAAGTCCTAGAAACTGCTAGATCTACCCCAAAAAGGCTAAGTTAGCAACTCTAAAAAAATGGAATGATTTTTTATGGGTGATATACATCTCCCAAAAAGTCCATCAGTCCAATATAGCTAAACTAAAACGCTTTATAACGAAAACTTTTGAACTTTACGTACTTGCACGTAACATTCAAAATTCAAAAAATATTATTTCATGCTGTAATTTGTATCTCGGCTTATCGGTGTTTTCATTATCTTGTATCAATGGTTCCGTAATTTTTTTTTAAAGATTTCGTGATAATATTGTTAATATTAACACTGATGCTGCATTTGTTGTCATTAATCATCTAATTTTCACATTGATAGATAGAACAACTCTATCTATCTAAAATAGAGAGGATAGTATAAATAGGATGTAAACATCCTGAAAGGCTTGAATTCATTGTGGCAGCGACCAAACGAATAGTCGATTAATTTAGTTTATTAACGGTGTTTTCATCACCCCTTGTTCCGACCTTTTTATGCACACTGTAAATGTTACATATAATATACGTATAATACCACCATTTAATATAAGCAGATATGTATTACTTTTATATCTAATGTATAAAACGATTTCTGAATCTACATCTTACGGAGGGGGCTGAATGAGTGGAAGATTTTATTACAAATTCTATTTCAACGTACCTACGTTATTTTAATTCTAGTTGCCGCCATATTCATCGAAACAACTCTGATCGCAACGCATATCACATGCCCATAGGTATCGTTTAAGAAATGTAGAAGAGGGAAAGATAATTCAATAGTGATAGATAAATTAATATTATTTATCAGAAATTCAAATTATTTGCCGACTACTTTTTTAACAGTTAACGAAAGTAATTATTGACGTGTCTGTGTGTGTATGTGGCATCATAGTTCTTAAGCGAATAGATCAATTATTCAGTATTTTGTTTAAAAAAATTACAATTTATTACGTAGTTATTTTTTTTATTTGGGAGTTAAATAGGTACCTAAATTTTTTATTATTAATTTAGATCCAACAAAATAATCGGAGTTGGCGAGTCTAATCGTGACTGGCAGGTTTTTTTTTACGGATGATAATTGCATGGTACTCCCGCTTGCGCTAATGCTTTACGCTAGCGGGGCACAAGTGGAGGATGATAAGATGAAGATGAGGTCAGGTCAGTTAGCCCATCGTGACAAATTTACCAAGAATTTATGACGATGGTTTCCAGGGGAACATTGTACATTACTATTAATGAGGGTCATGAGTCCACATTACTAACAATTCCCTTTCCCCTACTGGCAGGTTATTGTCTTGAGAAAATCCATACATCTCCGGGCACTAAAAACTTATACAGGCGAAAAATATAGTCAAAAAAGGACTTCTGCAGGACAGATATTTATCCTCAACCACAATCCTTAATTATGAGGAATACGAAAAGAATTCCTGCGTGTAATTAATGATAAATCCAACTACCAACGTTTGAGATTTAACTTTTCTAAATTTTATCACCGAAACGACGAACACAAGCACTTAATCCTTGCGTCATGGAAATTTCAAATATTCGCACTTAGCTATCTGCGTCATCATTTTTATTACGAACAACCACTTATAGATTTTCAAGAAACATAACCCTGGACTCTTCAAGTCAATTATAATTTTTCAGGGTAGGTGCGCAACATCTTAGGTTTCGCCATTATTTCCTACCATATGAGCTAAGACAATTTGCAAGAAAAAAAAATTACCCTTTGAATAGAAAAATTTAGAAATGTGTAATAGAAAATCGTTTATATATATATATATTCTAGTCAATTTAATCAATTTTGATAATTAGCTTCGCGTTGTTTTTCCTTAGGTATGACAAACTCTATTTTTTTACTTTATTATGCACGATTATACAATGTGCTAAAAGTATTCTCTAGCTCAGGGCTCTATTCAAGGATGAAGTAAGGTCAGTTAGCCATCGTGACCAATTCACCAGGAATTTATCACGATTCTTTTCAGGTGGAACCATGTGGAGGTCAACCTATTAGGATTAAGATTTGCAAAATTGTGCAATTAAATCTCTATCAAATGAGATTTGTTAGTTTGAATAACTGTTCATAATCATTATTGTCGTGAATACTGAAAATTGTCATGTCTGGCTGAGAAATTGACTATCTGGTGCGATAATTATAGAAGACAACAATTAGTACATGTAAGCTTTACAAGTGAAACTAAGAAAACTCGTTACAATGGTCTTTTTTATTAAATAAAAAAAATACATCATTTCAGTTCTATAAGTACATTAACAATTCAGTAAACCTTTACCAAATCAACATTCAGTCTGTTGACCTGAGATCAGATATAATTAAGACTGAAGTCAGTTTTGCAACTGTTTACCAAAACACTGTCTGCATTCTATGGGATAATTCGAACAATACGGGACAATATTCCAGTTGAGATAATTAACTTAATTAAGAATATATTCTAAAGAGTTTTTAACTTAATGCCTTATTTAATCTATGATAATCATAATTGATTTATTATACATACACAAATGGAAAGTATCTACCTAAATTATATGTTACAATAATTCATAATTCAAAAACACAGATTATTAACTATATGATTTAAATAAAAAAGGCAGGCAATATAATAATTATCTTCTTATATAGCAATTCCGCAAATAAATAAGTCTACCAATTGTTCTTATTAGAAAATAAAGGTGCAACTTGCGCGTTCACAGCACACATCACATCCACACCTACAAATATACAGTGAGGACACAGATTACAGATCATTATGTTCAATACTTTGTGACGAAACAAAACACAGTGCGCAAGCTGCGAGTACGATACAAAGTGGGGAAACCTACAATGAATATCTCACAAAATACACAATTTGTTGGATATCTATGTAATTTATACATTGAATTTACAACTTACACTACACTGTAATTTGTTTTTTATTAAAAATAACATCCACACTTAGTTCATTGCCTACATTGTCACTATATTTCCTGCTTTCAACATCAATATCTTAAATAGTGTTACAAGTTAGCTTTATTTACACAATACTGCTCAAGTTACGGAAGTGCATCTCTTCATACAGTCAGTTGGTTGACGTCATGTGTGCGTGTATTTCCCGAACACCACACACTCCCTCAACTTTGACGTTATTTACCTTTTGCTGTGATAGTTACATTTGATTTGGCAGGCTGTGGTATGATTGTAATTTCATCACTGATTTTTAAAGGCTTAAGCAATGGGTCCGTATCAGTTGCCTTTGGTGGAGTGCTGGTTTTAGTTTTATCCATAACCCGTTTTGCAACAACACTATGTGCAGAGTACACATGATTCTCAAACTGCTTGTACATTCCAAATGTAGCTGTGCACACGGTGCATTTGTATGAGAGATGTGCTGGCTTCAGTGTCATGTTGTGATCTCTAGATACATGATTGAGTAGCTTCCACTGGTAAACTCTACCACAAACAGGGCACCTACCAGCATCTTTACCTTTGTTTGCTGCTTCTTGCATAGAGCTAGTCACTAAACCATGAGACCCCAACAGATGTCTCTCAAGACCTTGGTCTGTGAAAAATCTGAACTGGCATTTCTGACAGTTTAATGGAGGTCTGTTGTAAATCATTTTGGGATGAATTTTAACTTTATGTATCCATTGCATGTGATTTCTCAGTTGTTCCAAATCTTTTATATATCCATCACATATTTCGCAAATAACAAAGGCAGCCTTTGAGTTTTGTGAGGATTGTGAAGAGGAAGGTTGGGGAGCACGGGGTAAGGGTGTTATAGATATCTTGGGTGTAGCAGATGTGTTATTACTACCTTGACTATTTTGGATTATTGGATAATTGGAAATGGTAGTGCCAGCTGGAGGATTGTTATGCATAATCATTAGTCCACTTCGTATGATGGGCACACCAGAAACTGCTGTAGGTCGCGAGGTTGTCATGGGTGGGCGGCCACGCGGCCGTCCAAGTATCGGCATACCTGGTATTAGACTGGTCACATTCATTGGTGGTCGACCCAAATTATTCATACTTATTTGTGGCCGATTAAAGTTAGACTGATAAGGGTTCATCATATTATTACGAGCTCTAGAAAGCTTTGGTATTTTTGCTGGGGGTTCCCATTCTAATGGAGGCCCTAAGTTGAACTCAGGTTTAAATTTCTTAGCACATGCAATGAGATGTCTTGCTAATTTAGTTTTACTATTATCTTCAAAATGACAGTTAGCACACTGCTGGTAGGCCGGTGCTCTTTCCAACCGACCTCTGATATTGTGCTCAGCTTCCATGTGAAACAAAATATCATGAGGACTACGAATTTCAAATGGACAAGTATTACATTTGTAAATATTGTTTCGCATATGAGGAGCTTCCAAGTGGTGGCTCATTACCAAGATGGACTCTGTTTTAAAACTACAAAAATCACATCTTTTCATTTGTAAAGAATAGGGAGCATTTGTCTTCTTACTAAATTCATAATTTTGTGTTAATGAAGCAATAGCTGTCTCTGTTGCTTTTGTGCTACGACCAGATTTCTTTTCTTTATACAATTTACGATTCTGTTGCTTTAACAAATCACTCTGAACAAATTCTTGCACCAAATTCAACCCAATATTTATAAAAAATTGACCTAAAGAACAATCAAAATAACTATCAGATTTTCCAGAAACACTCTTAGGAAACAAGTTCATGGAGTCCTTGAACTCATCAATAGCAGTATCATCTTTGTCTTTAATAACTACCATATCATCATCACTTGCACCATCATCATCTGATTCAGAATTAGACTCACCATCCCATGAGTCATCATCCTCATCATTCAAACGTCTCCGTCGTTTTTTCTCAGCCTTCTTTTCCTTCAATGCCCCATCCTCTGTTTTTTTCTTCTCATCTAGCTCTTCAGATTCTGTGTCTTTTTCCACTTCTTCCCCCCTAGCAATTCTCTCTTGCCTTTCTTTTTCCTTTTTCTCCTTTTCTGCTTTTTCTTTTTCTAACTTTTCCTGTTCTTCTTTAAATTTAAGTTCTTCTAGCTCTTTCCCTAATTTATCCACAAACTCTCTGAAAGGTTTAACAGATGGCTTCTCATAGACATAAGGAACTATAAATGAAGGTGCTTCAACAACAAACATGTCATCTGTTAAAGATGGTAAGATGTTTGGTTGGGGTGTAGGTGCAGTGCTCTGCTGCGTAGATGTAGTGGTTTTGCAGCTAACTGGAGTGATAGTAGTGCCACGGGCAGCAATGCTTTGGCACAAATTATGGGCATCCAATGCACTGGTAGAGGTTTTGGTTTGTATTGTGGGTGGCATTGTGGGTTTTCCAGAAAGTATTGTATTAGTGTCAATAATTACAACAGTTGGCTCTTTATTTTGATCTCCATTAGATTTTGGCTGTTTTGATGCTAAGTCTGCTAACCCTTTAGAGTCACTCACCACTATAGGTTTAGTTTTATTTGTTTGGTTTAATGGATCCTCCATTGATACTTCCTCAATATCACTCTCTTCTTCACCATTTTCAATCTGTTCTTCAATTTTAGCCTTTTCGATTTGCTTATTACTCTGTTGTGATTCTTCTGAACTTCCATTACTGTCAGTACTTGAATTCGAGGATTCATCTTCATTTGACACAACACAATCATCGTCTTCATCACTGGTAATTTCATGAACTTCAGGACTTGGAGAACCCCCATTTTGGCTCTGTGGTTCATTTTCATTTTCTATTTCATTCTCTGACTCACTGCTCTCATCTTTTGGCTGGCTTCCTTGTGATGTATCATCATCCCCCTCTGTACGCTCATCTGGAAAGAAAACAAAGTATTGTTATAAAAAAAACGTTATTGTCTGAGTTTAAAAAAACTTACAAAGACAAATGTAAAAACAGAAACAAACACAATCTTTGTATTAGTTTATTTGAGAACAATTGTATTATTGACACACATTGCAACAAAGCAGTAAATAGAAGCAGACCTAATATATCGGTGACCAGCGTCCTAAGTTCGCAGGAACGCCACAGTCCAGAAAAAACTGAATATTCAAAGTAACCTAACCCAATACAACAGTAGGTTTAACCTATAATTTGACTCATCAAACAACAGTTTTATGAATTGATCATATAAAAATTATAATCTGTTTTACCCAATAGCGTCAGTATATCATGTGGTGAGTGGACCGCCATATGGGATTCCATGGCATTTCTCCGAAAACCTTAATCTATCTGGTTTCATAGTAAACACTAACTTTCAAGGTCAGATTTTTACAAATAAACTATTATTAACATTAAATGTGTACCTGTAGCTGTTGAAATCGACATTTCCTCACAAATTTCGTATGAAAAACTAAAAAATAGCACAATAGTACAGTAGCGGAAACCAAACCAAATCAAGCTGTCATTTAAAAGGTTTGTAGTATGTCGCGTTTTGAAACACTCTTCTTAACGGACACGATTCTAAAATATGTTCTTGATTATTAATTTTATATGTCATAAAAGGTTGTTAATAGTACATAAATATTCATTATTGTAGGTAGAATAAACAATCTGAATTTTATCAGGTCAATTTAGTTCTAAACTAAAAATAAAGGATTACGATGCCCAGTGTGCATTATAAAGCACCTTTACTTAAAAATGGTAGGAATAGGAGGGAACACGGAGGGGGAAGGACGCGGTATTCCATTATGGAAAGATTGGAATAAAAAAAGCGGCAAACTTGAATGGATTTTTTATGTAATTTAAAATAATATTCCATTAAATTATTCTTATTAATATAAAAAATTGTGAAGAATCGACAAGGGATGTACTCTATTTCGATTAAATTAATGTATAATTTAAAAATATTACGATATAAACGTATAACAAATTAAATGGAAACGTTCGACATTTCGAAGTTCGAACTCAAAGGCTATTTTGCCTTTTGCCCACATAGTGCATGCGATACTGTTCGTAGTTTTATATTTCTAAAAATACAAATCTAGTACTTCTATTGATTTCAAATTCTGAAAGAAACAAATAAAAAAAATACCTTGGTTCATTTTCAATTTTGTAGACTTCCACATCCGGTACTTCATTGTCAGTGTTATGATGATACAGATCAGGGCAATATCTTTACATATTTTTTCAGGTTTGGCGACATTCGATAAATTCCAGTATTTATCGTCTGTGCACTAACCCTGGATTAAAAATCCTATTTACTAGAAATTGATTCCAAATAGAACTTGCGGTACCAAATGGCGTTACATATTTGTGAAGTTATTTTAGATGTAATTGAGAAATTATCTCCGTTTTATGACGAATGATCTACTGGGTATAAACCCTAGTTTTCCTAGATAGATAAATAATTATCATATGCATATATATATCATAACCCATTTTATAATATTTATATTTTGAAATCAACATTTACCTCTTCATTTCTTCATATATTATATTATGGTCTAGTAAGTATACCGGAGAAATGAACGGTATACGTTCATTCTTCTGCTATACTTATTTTACTCTTTGGATATAACTGTAAACTAATTGCTTTGGAAAAAGTATTACCATTACATTAGATATATATATATAACTCTATGGAGCGTAGTACCTTTAGAATAGTACATTAAACGTGTAGGTGGCGCGAGTGTAGTAGGAAATGAACATTTTTGTAATTCTACTACAGACTAATGAGCTGGCTACGCTAACGCTATTCATAGTTAATATTAATAATAATTATACTTGAATAGATACTTACAAAAATATGTACAACAATATGGTGGATTTACATTGAAATTATTTTGACTTTAAGATGGTTGTACAAATTTTTTTGTTACATCACAAATGTTTTTGCTGATAGAAAACACTAATGACGTATTTTATTATTATGATTATTGTTACTCAATTGTATTTTTGTTAAAAACAAAATTTATATTAGTTATTCCACGTAACCCTTACCTATGTTACAAAATGTTTATTATTGATTATTTTATGTATTTTGTTATCTAAGTAAACGATTAAATAGACAGTAATAAAATTGAAGATTGTATTACAAGGCTGACTTTTATCTTATAATACAAGGATTTACAATATCACAGAACTTTTAAAAGAAAACCCAATTTGTTATTAATAGTCAGTTTAATATAAATTAATTAAAAATACATTAAGATATAACATATTATAAGAGATAATTTATATTATTAGTCATTATTTATTAATTATCCTGATCCTCTTCATCCTCAACTTCTGCAAATGGATCCATCATTGGTGCCTCATCAGGTTTTCGTATTACACCCATTTTTTCAGCTGCATTTAAAGACTTTTGAGCAAGTTGCTTGGTCCTTTCTAGTTCTGGTTCCTGAAGTTTGGTCAATGCCATTAATATCTCCATCACATCAGTTTCAAATATTTTGAATGCAATGTCTTTATCACCATTTATAATATTATACAGTATATAAGTACCTCTATATTGTATTTCTTTATCTGGATTAGCAAGAAGACACCTTAATGTTTCTAACCAAGGCTGTATATCCAACAATTTTCTGCAACAAATTTTACTGACAGAAGTCAAAATGCATAAGGCACCTGCAGCAGCTAATACAGTATCAACATCCTCTTCTTGACATAAAAGATATAAAAACTTTGTTTTGTCATTATTACCCTCAAATGTTTTTATCACATCATCTGACTGAAGTAAATTGCAAATACATTGAGTGGCAGCTCTAAGCAGCATCATATGATCTTCATATAAATAATGCTCAATTTTAGCCAAACCACCTTCTTTGAGGATTCTGTTTCTAGTAGTTTCATTCATTCCAGCTAAGTTACATAGAGCCATCATTGATTCAAAATTTTCAAGAGCAGTGCAATCTGGATGTAGAAGTGATAATAATGGCCTGACAACTTCTAAATTCCTTTGACCTGGGAAGGCAACCTCTGGATTAATAGTAATCCCAATTCTGGCCAAAGCTTGGGCAGCTTGCTTTTTACCTTTAAGAGTTCCTTCTAATGATAATGGTATTAATACCTTTGCTCCTCCTTGTTGAACTACTATACCCCTTAACTCTTGTAAACCACAAATTGCATTAAAAACTCTAGCAATCAGCTCTCGAGAATTGTCACTTTCAGTCTTACAGAGTGCTACCAACCCAGATGTGACACCAGCCTTGGTAAGAACTGTGATTCTTTTATTAATAAAATCAGGATCATCCAACTCATGTTCTTCCGGTATGTGATGTTTAGCAAACTTTGCCAGTTCTAACATTTCTGGCAATACCTCCTGCTTATCATATGCATTACATAAATTGACCAGTGTAGTGACAACACCATACAAACATGATTGATCACCAGATTTTGCTAGTTCAATGAGAGCTTGAATAGCTGCTTTATCTTCAACCAATGCTTCTTTTACATCAGCATCTAAAGTCAGATAAGACAAGCCTTCAGCAGCCCATTTTCTTACATCATTATCTTTTGTTGGATTTATTAAAAACTTTCTGCAAGCTTCTGCTAATTTCTTCGTAGAACCATCGGCAAATGGTCTAATAGATGCATCATCACCTCCAAAACTGCCAACTTTACACAATCCAACTAGAGCTCTCACTCTGACAGCATCAATTTTGCACACATATAACTTTTTTAAAATGTCCACACCCTTATTGATGATTGTTCTTGCCTTGTCTTTCTTAGAAGCTGCAGCAATGATACATTCACATGCTACCTTCTGCTGTAGAAGATCTTCTGTTTGGGCCATGACTAATATCATTTCTAAAATGCCTTCTTTAGAAATCACATAATTTCCAACATCAAGTGGTCCACGTAACAATGATGTAATGGCGACTGTAACTCTTACTTTAGACTCAAGATCGGGTGACATTAATTTATCCTTAACAAATTCATCCACTTGGTTGTTGAACCGTTCTCTGGCTTGGTCATAGTACATATTCTCATATATTCTAGCAAGACAAGCAGCTGCGATGGTTCTTGAAGAAAGTGTAATATTCATTGCAGATTCATATTTATATTCCTCCAGTTCACTACACACTTGTAGCAATCTATGGAGTCCTTTGATTTCTACAAACCTCTCTGCCCAGTTTATGGTACTGTAATGACAATTTCTCATTATAAGCTCTATAATTGCATCTCTAGCCTTACCAGTTATAACTGCGTTTGTAATAGAATAAGTTAAACAAGTAAGAAGTACATCTATTTCACTCTTATTTTCCTCACAAAGTTTTGAATCAGGTTTTGTATCTTTTTTATTATCCATTCCAGAGAAAGAATTGAGTATGAGTTGAATACAGTATTGAGCTACATTCACTTGTTCATCAATATCACTGTCAATGATTTCCAAAAACCATGGAACACCAACAATTTTAATAATACTCTTTGTTCTATCAATATTTCTTTTACATAACTGACTAATAATTCTCACTGCATTACAGTATATATCAGAGTTTTTCTCAACCTTTAACAATTGTTGAATTTTATAAACTATACCATTTTTTAACATAATATCCCCGCCAGAGTTTTCTTTTGCAAGCACTAAAAGATTGCTCATAGCTTTTTCTCGTTTCTCTTTGTTTTCATTAAAGTCAAAGGCCAATTTAAACATTTGCTCCACTTTACTGCTCGTTTGGGCATTTTGTCGCGCACGTTCTTGTACTACAGCATGCAATCGTGACAAAATTGGTTGTATGGCTTTATTTGCAGGATCTATGGTAAATATAGCTTTTGCATCTTTGTAAGCTTCCTCATATCTCTGTAAGTTCTCCAATGCTTGGGAACGCCGAAATAACGCTTTGGGATCTTCTGGCACAATTTTCAATGATTCATCGCAATCTTGAATAACTTTGTTGTACTCATTTGTCTTCAGATAGGCAGCTGCACGATTTTTCAAGTATGTGGCCATATCTCGACTGTCTTTTTCTGCAAGATTAATAGCTTTCGAATAAAACGATATCGCATCTTCATATTTATCGTTTTTGAAGGCGTCGTTGCCTTTAATCTTGAAGGATTCCGCTTCCTCATTATAAACACCCATTTTTAGGTTTACAGTGATTCAGATTAAAATTGAGGACGATTGAGGTTTGAGATTGCTTTTATATTACACTCGACGAAAGTTCTAGTAAACTCTCGGGGCTTCTTCTCATATTTACGGGTTAAAATAGAACTTTATTTTTGTTCTCCTTATGTGGATAGGTAGCTAGGTAGATACAGTCAGTTTAGTTTTGACATTTGGGAGATTCACAAACTGAATATTCTCGAAAACATTTTTAATATCCATTATACTATTTTTGAGACATGTGAATTGTCTTATCAAAGAGTGAATTATTTTTGTTCAAGTTAATACACATTTTGAGTATTAAATTGTAATTTATATGTTAATATAATTTACATAATTCTAAAATATTCTCGTGTGTTAATTTTTTTAATGATATTAAGTTTGAACGACATTTACTTCAAATATCAGACACGTCAGTTTACAACAAAACGTCAGTGTTTTAGTTATCATTTATATTACAGCATAGACAGAGTAATCTGTCTACGACGTTGTCATTCGTTCCAAAAGTGAATGAATTATGTTGGTGGCTGCCTATTGTTCATTGTCATTCATTATTGAAGAAATTTTGTATATCGGTTTCACGGCATAACTTTATTGTTTAATTCTTCTTTTCGGCTTTATAGAAAACTTTTATTAATTGTCGATATGGCTGCAATTAGTTTATTAAACCCTAAAGCTGAATTTGCTAGAGCAGCACAGGCCTTAGCTGTAAACATATCTGCTGCAAAAGGGATCCAAGATGTAATGAAAACTAACCTAGGGCCGAAAGGCACAATGAAAATGTAAGCTTTAATCCTATTTTTAAACTTCTAACAATGTAGAATAAAATTTTGTTTAGCGTTCAATGCAGATTGTTATTTCATTACTGTGAAAAGTATTTAATTCGCTTATATTGTCCATTATAAAAACCATGTGACTAACTGCCATTTGAATGACAATTTGACGATGAATGGATATAATAATAATAGCACACCTGTTTTCTAAAGTATATAATCATTATATAGTTACAAGTCGCGGTCGCTGTTTGTCCGTTACTATGTATGCTGAAATCTTTAAAACTACGCAATGGATTTTCGAAGCGGGTTTTTTTAGTAGAGTGATTCTAGAGGAAGGTTTATATGTATAATATATGTACACCCGGGCGAACCCGGCGTAAGTAGCTAGTAAACTATATAACAAAGTGATCTAGTAGTGAAGGTAAATAGTGTAGTAGGTTTGTTGTTCTTGGAATTTAGCATATCATTAAATTTTTAACACAGGTTAGTATCTGGGGCTGGTGATATCAAAATAACAAAAGACGGCAATGTGTTATTACATGAGATGCAAATTCAACACCCTACTGCTTCGCTCATAGCCCGCGCTTCCACAGCTCAGGATGATGCCACTGGTGATGGCACTACATCTACTGTATTACTGATTGGGGAGTTGTTGAAGCAAGCCGACATTTACATCAGTGAAGGTACAGAAAAATAACAAAAAAAATATTTTAACATAATGTATAGTATTATGATATACATAAGGTCTGAATCTAATATACATTTTGATTCTTTGTGTTAGCACTTCTATGAAATGATTAAAAATAAAAGTATTTTTTAATTCTATATATTATGTTATATTATTCAGCTGTTTTTTTAACATAGGTATTTAAAAACGTGATATGAAAGTAAGTGATGAGTTCAAGAAAGTGTAAAAAAAAAAATTGATGAAATAAAATGTGTGTATTTAATATTCTGTCTAAATTGACCAATTTTATTTTCATTTTATAACCATGTTTGTGTCCTTATGGTGCAAATAAATAATTAATCTAATCTATCTATGCTCCTCAAAGTATAAGTATTATATTCTACTGTTGTATGAAATTGAAATATATTTGTTATATTTAGGTTTACATCCCAGAATAATAACTGAAGGTTATGATGTAGCCAGAACCAAGGCTTTGCAAATTTTGGAGTCCATGAAAATACCTATTGATGTTAAGCGTGTGAGTTTACTTGATGTAGCCCGCACCTCCCTGAAGACCAAGGTAATCTACAAGCATAATAAGTCAATCTATAACATTATTATTATTATACAGTACAATAAATTTTCTTACAATTACAATAATTTCTCTTGTAGCCTAAAAGTCCCATAGTAATATATAACAACAAAGCCCTTTATTATCAAATTAGTATTAATCATATTAGTTGGATGCTTCTACACACAATTGTTTATCACTCACAGAAACACAAACAGACAAAAAGTCTAATAATTATTGATTTTAGTTTTGTTATTGATAACATCCCCCAATAATGGTTTTTCTCTTATATCTTGTATTTACAACTGTTATATAGCCTAATAAAGATATACCTTACTTTTTAGAATAGAATAGAAAATCATTTATTCAAATAAACTTAATTTAAGCACTTTTGAATAGTCATAACAATTTGTTTTTTATCTACCACTCGTTCGGAAAGCTGTCTCATCACAAGAAGAACGAGCAAGAAACTTGTGTGTTGCTCTTTTAAATAATCCTTGTAAGTTTACATTTACAAGTCGAAACGTGTGAATACAAACTACCAACAAGCACTAATTTTTTGGGTCAAATATAATCATGCAATAAGATTAAATCAGTCGTAGCGATAAGAGCAGACCAGACCCTACAAGCAGCACTCGTTCACGAGTATGACGGATGAGCCAGCCATCACTGCGCTCGACCATATTTTAGGGAGCCCATTGACCCGGCCCACCACGCCGCCATATGTCTGGACATTTTAGTATATTAAATTAATTATCCAAAACAATTTTTTTAGGTACACCCAAGTTTAGCTAATGTGCTTACCGATGCATGTGTGGATGCAGTGCTTGCAATCCGCATTCCAGGTAACCCAGTTGACTTGCACATGGTTGAGCTTATGGAGATGCAACACAAAACTTCCACAGAGACCACACTAATTCGCGGTAATTTAATTATATATGTATCTATGAATTTTAAAATTAAGACAAGAGTTTAGGTATTTTTTGACATATACATTAATATAGGGTGAAGCTAAGTAGAATAAAAATATGGATACTAATTTTGTGTTGCAGAAGTGTAACATATCTACTAGCTAGTATGATCTCGTTATTTACTAAATTTTGAACTAATTTGTAGACATCTTACAGTTTCCATTAAGATTGGGCCAACAGTATATACATATACTGCTTCAATATGAAAATTATGTGTTTGTAGGTCTGAAAATATAGCATTATGACAGGACAGACATATAGTCTACAATACTATAATATTTCCTTTTTGTTTTGGAACCAAAATCTTTAAAGGTATTAGTGTATTTGTAATGTAGAACTAGTATTCCAATTTTTTCATTTCAGGTTTGGTGTTAGATCATGGTGGTCGCCACCCTGACATGCCCAAGCGTGTTGAGAATGCATATATTCTTACTTGCAATGTTTCTCTCGAGTATGAGAAGACTGAAGTTAACTCTGGTTTCTTCTACAAGTCTGCTGAAGACAGGGAGAAGCTTATTGCTGCGGAGAGGGAATTTATTGATCAACGCGTTAAAAAGGTTAACAATAATAGTACATAGTGCTGATAATTTTTATATATATTTTTAATGTGGCCATCTTGCAATCAGTCGAAGACTATGAGCATATGTGAAGGTAGAGTGATTCCCAGTAGAATCATCATCTCTTTAGATGGTCTTGATTAGTCATCAGCTTAAGCCATTTCAGTTCACACCTTTTAAGGCGACTTATGTTGTTAGACACTCAGTAGGTGTGCCATATGCAAGCGACTTTGTAAGAAATTTTATAATATATGTTGTGTTGTCCTTAGCATTCTCAGCCAACTGAAACAGTCCTTTCTATGAACACAGTCAAGAAAACCGTAAACCACACCACTGTATCTCCCAAACCACGACGTTGGCAAAATCACCGAACTCATTTGGTGGAAGCCATTTAAATAAAAAGAAGAAATTTTATAACTTTGTTTTTTATTTCACAGATTATTGCCTTGAAGAAGAAACTGTGCGACGGAACTAACAACACATTTGTTGTTATAAATCAAAAGGGCATTGACCCACTTTCTTTAGATGCCTTCGCTAAAGAAGGCATTATGGGTCTGCGCCGCGCCAAGAGGCGTAATATGGAGCGCCTCGCATTGGCCTGTGGCGGTATTGCCATGAATTCAGTTGAAGATCTTAACGAAGACTGCTTGGGATATGCTGGCCTGGTTTATGAACATATACTTGGAGAAGACAAATACACATTTGTTGAACAGTGTAAGAACCCACTTTCTGTAACAATCCTGATTAAAGGCCCCAATAAGCACACACTTACTCAAATTAAGGATGCTGTCCGTGACGGTCTCCGGGCGATTAACAACGCAATTGAAGACAGGTGTGTTATTCCTGGTGCTGGCGCCTTTGAGATCAAGGCCAATATGGAGCTGCAGAAATACAAAGATACTGTTAAAGGAAAAGCTCGCCTGGGTATCCAGGCTTATGCTGAAGCTTTGTTAGTTATTCCCAAGACACTTTCTGTGAATTCTGGTTATGATGCTCAGGATACCATTGTCAAACTTCAAGAAGAAGCTCGTTTAAGTCCTGTCCCAATCGGTTTAGACTTGAGCACAGGCGAGGCAATAAAGTCAACAGATGTGGGAATAATCGACAATTATATTGTGAAGAAACAGATTATTAATTCTTGTTCTGTGATAGCCAGCAATCTCCTCCTTGTTGATGAAATTATGAGAGCGGGCATGAGCAGCCTCAAAGGATAATTACGCAACTTTATCAGATGCATAATAAGATAACAAAATGCTTTATTTTTAAAATATAATCTAATAATATTTACTCTTTTAATTTTAACATTGCAACTTTGCATTGTAAGTTCTTATATCTCTATGTATGTGCGAGATATCTACAGTATATTACACTTACTACAGTAATTAGTTTAAACAATAAAAAAGTAACTCCTATATACCATTGTTTTTTTTTTTTCATAAATGGTTGTTTGAAACAAATTAAAGCACCTGAGGGTGATTTCAAGTAAATTGTGTATGGAGCATGGAAGTTTACTATGAATAATAAAAATTACTTGAAAATATTTTTCATTCAATTTATTCACAACAAATAAAACAACGAATCACATAAATTCCATCAATTACAATTAAACTATTAATTATACTTAATTAGAAGCGAATCTATATGCATTGTATACAATAAAGACAATAAAGTTTTAATGCAGCATATAGTTTCGGATCTCATCTTACAATCCTTTTTGTGAATCTATTACATAAATTCTCGTTAATAATTCGCATAACCCACTAAGAAATAACGGCTTATATGAATAAAAATGAAAAGGAAATGTATATCACATATTTCAAGAAAAAAAGAAATTTGTACAAAGTAACACAAACGCAAACCAAACCAAATATTGGTTTCGACCATAACTGAAACTACCAAAACTATAAATATTTACTAAAATAAAAAAAAATCTGTTTCGGCTGTTACGTCATTTTAATCGGTTACTAATAAAATTAAAATGTATATTTTACATATTTAGTATAAAATTATGTGGAATGTTTATGGCAAAAGCCATGTTTACTATATTATTTCCCCTGTTGTAGTTGTTTCATGAATGTTTTATATCAAATACTGGAATATCAATTAAGTAACTAAAACAAATAAGCTCACTACTAAAACCTTTCTTAATATATGGCAATATAATAAAAATGCCCCTTTTACTTATCACCGTTTTAAAAATATATATTTAGTACTTATCATCTACTAGACTACTACTTATTTTTAAGGAGTTTTTATTATTTGATAACATGAGATTATCCTTAATTAACGTGGTACATAATAATATAACAAAGCCATATAGGAGATGAAGGATAAATTATATATAGTAAAAAGACGCCGCGGGTTTAGTATACAAATAAATACACAAAAATCATTCACTACTTAATTATTGATACAATTTACTGTTACATAATTAAAACGACTAGATAATTTAACAACACTATGTTATAACAATATAATATTTTGTTCCAAAGTAAATAATCAAACACAGCTGTTAAGAAATTTATTTCGAGTCTACAACGCACACATGACAACCGTTTACCATCAGATGTAGCTTATGCTTATTTGCCACCAAAAATAGTGGTTTCTATATTAGGCAAACAAGATACACTACATTAACAGTGAATAATTTGTAAAAAAAAATCGGTGGCTATTGTTAAGGTATTTATGCAGCATCCAAATGTTACAATTACATCTGTAGTATACATATCTTGTAAACATATAGCCTAGATAAAACCCCGGTACCAAGCTTTCCGTATCCACGACAGACATAACTCCATCAATAAATCAAATAAATAAGTATAGTGGAAATGTAGTAATGTAGCAGTATAATCTGTAGAGATTATTTTTAAATAGATTTAATCTGTAAATATTTATGAAAATATTAATAATGGCATGTAAATTAAAAATATTTTGGCCGTTTTGCATTTGTAGTGTTTCTTCGCACCGAAATATACATAAAACTACTCCAGAAAATCGTAGCAGCGGCCATACAACGAAGGCTGTGTAACCTATATTTCTGGGAAGAGCTTGAATGGTAGTAGTCTCATGTAGATCATGCACGATATCCCAAATGGTACGCTAAATGTGTAAATAGTAATAGAGTTCAAGATAAACCAGAAACTCAATTAATCTTTTTTTCAAATGGCGTATTCAATGCCGGTCGAAGCATAATAATGTCAGTAATATATTTTTTTAGCTCTCGTCTTAATTATATCACTATAGCCTCGTTATATGGTCATGTTCCTGTACACAACGAGTCTATATAGTCACAAATTAGTTCTTATAATAAAACATCATATTTGGCCAAGAGGTATGCAAAAATATTTATGAATAAATTAGATATATCAATATTATTTAGCGTAGAAATTTTAATGCATTGCAAAGTGTTCACTCAAAAACATAAGCCATTGAACTCCAGATCTTGTTAAAAATAAAGAAAAAAAGCTTACATATAGGAAACTATCATATTTTTAGTATAATTGACAAATTATTTCATTATTTAAAGAGCTATTAGATAATGATATAGTTTTTGCCATATATATATGCCAAAAACTACATATATATAGTAATAAAAGGTTTTAAAAAATGCAAGATTGATGGAGTAACCAACATATATTTATTGCTACGCATAGCAAACATGCTCATTCAGTATACATCACGCTATTGATATTTGAGGATGGTTTAGCCTAACTCTATGACAAATGCTGAGATTCTAATACTTCGTTAGCCTCATTCGCAAAGTATAATCACGTAACGATACTGCTAGCTATGTACCATGTTAGGTCGTCCTCCGTGATGGGATAACTGACCAAATTTCATGTTAATCCTACTGCCAACCACTGATGTCCCGTCATCAAATATACAGTTAGGACACGCCGTTACATCATACCATATTATTAAAAAAATCGACTCTTCATATAATCTATGATTCCTCGACCCCGTCGTGCAATTGTCACCCGCAGGAATACACTTAATTGGCAGACTATAGTCAATATAAACCAATAGCCAATTGGCAGGACCACCTATGAAATAGCAATGTGTTTAAAACACGATTTATTATAAATATACATAATAGTACCTATAAATTTAAATTTGGTATATTATATTACAATTATAAATGTACATAAGTTTTTAATTCAATTGACAAAGATATCCCGTTACCACGCAAAAAGTAATGTACGATATAGTCGAATTAAGAAGTCCTAGTTTTTGAGTCGGTTAAGTAGAACTGAGAATCGTCAACGCCTAGAACATCGTTCGGATTTGAAAGACTCAGGACTCTTCGAACTCGTAACATCGCAGTAGATTCCTTGGTTTTGTTATTAATGTCATGCAAGAGAACATACCTATTTATTTATTGTTACCAAATGTTGTAAAAAAAAGTCTTCATAATTCAACTGAAGCATTGTAAATGTTTTTGGACGAGAGGAAATATTTCGCACTGGCCCGAGGACAGTTCAAAGTATAAAGACCAGCCAGCCTGTTCTTTGCATTATTCAAAAACTAAAACAGTTTGGTGCGATTCTGGAAACACGTAGGTAATAGATATTATGTGTCGCAGTTGTTAAACATGTTCGGGCCAAATTTCTAACGAGGGGAGAAATGGACTAACTATATAAATATAGGTAGATATCCGAGATTATAAACACATATTCGAAATACAAACAGTTTTCCTAATAACTACTACTAGAGGTTAACTTATATTTTAGTTTGCCACGAAACACAAAAGTTGACACATAGAATCGAGTATATTAATTACTAAATTTTCTTTATAGGGTTTATTACATTACCAAATAATTATATAAAACTATATCCATTTATGAAGAAATTAAATTAACATCTATCATATATGTACAAAACTTAAAACAATCTAGTGAGATCATGTTTGATTTCTGTACTGTACTTATTGCTCCAAATTTTACATACATAATGATAATATATGCTAGTGTAATATACCCTATAGAAGATATAAACCATACACTTCACAAAATATTGTAAGACTAAAATCCTTTAACCATTACAAATACACTTAATACTCATATGTTAGGAGAGTGTACACGTACGGGGGAGAGTTACACGTATATTAGAAGAACTCGTTAAAACTGGTTGTATATCAGTAATACATTAATTAGAACCTTACAGAAATTAGTTCTTCGACTTTTCAGCGAGTGCAGCGCGTTCGTTGACGTCAATAGTTGCCAAATTGAGAGAAGCCACGATTCCATGAAGCACCGATATACCGGCCTTTACTATAGCCACCGGCGCTGACACCAAAGCTATCAGTTTCCATAAACCGATCCCAAAAACTGTAAAGTAATGTTCTTATGATAAGATTACGGATTGAAGTAATAAAAGTTAATATTGGCAATATAACATTTGATACTATAATATGAAGTTTTTATTCTTCGTTAAAATTAGACATCTATTGCACTAAATAATCCTATTATCTTGCCTTACGACACAGAGAAAGGTTTTGCAATCAGCTCTGTACTTATATAGATACAATTCTTGGTTCTTTCATATTCAGTCAGTTCAGTTCATTTCTTATATTTCAAATGCCGATAAGGAAACGCTTCTCCTCGTCGAGCCTGTTAGTGCCTTAAATGCTGGCGTAGTAAATCTTGTGCAGTGTTTAATAAGAATCAGAACTATTAGCTATGTGTTCTTGTTCATCTTGGTTATGTCAACCTAAGATTATTTTAACGTGGTAATTTTTAATATTAAATAATTTTTGGTACACGCGGATCTGTCGATGGTTTTGTATTATCATTATGGATACGGTAAAAGACCTACATGAAGAAAGTTATTTTGATTTGATTGACTATAATATTTTATTGAATGGATTTAACATACACTCACTTTTTAGTTACATATAGGTACCAATACCTACCCAATTATGAATGTTGACGTAACACCTAGTGACACAATTTTCTAAAAACGGTTGATTTGGGTACTGTTGTTTATTTTTGTCTCTTCACGTAAATTTTATGTACAATACTATAAATAATATATTATGTTCATGTACAATAATACATTGTAATGTTATTAAATATTGGAAAACAAAATTTGGAGACTTAAAATATTATACATATTGTTAACTGCCTACCCGGCCCGACTTCGGACGGGTGTACAATGTACATGTGTACACTTATAAATCTTCCTCTTCAATCTCTCTATCTATTGCTAAAAACTGTATTAAAATCCGTTGCGTTATTTCAAAGATTTAAGCGAACTACAGCGGGGTGAAGTCATTTTATACTACGTAAAATAAAGTAGTATTAAGTGTAACGTGCAATAATATAGAATGTATGTACAGTTATATAAAGATAGAACGAATTAACAAATATAGTTATCTTCTAATGTTGCCCGTGCCACAAGCTGAATCAATTAGAAGATAGTGAATATAATCAAGTGCACTTTGAACGCATACTAATAGGGCCATCAATAAATTATGGCATAATCGAGTCGACAAAGTATAGCATTCTTTAGAACGATTAGAAGGAGTCACGCACATCGATCTAGGAGGATTTTTTTAACAAATTCTTTTTATTGCAATATGTATTATACCTATAGCCGTTGTATCAGTTTCATCTGTTTATTATCTTCATATTTTCCACTAAATCCTCAGTTTTTCCCTCGTCAGCTACATGCGATAGCTTGGCCTCAATTACATTAATAAAAAAATATTTACTCGTTAACAAACATCTTTTATCACGGAATTCCGGATTCACACCTGGTTTGGCGCTCCGACCGATTCTCCGTCCAATTCAAACAGGGATTAAAATTACGGCGACCGAGCTGAGGGTCGAACTCATGACGGTGCCTTCTGACTGAAGTTATATGCGCCAGGTAGGGTCAGCCGCACCTTAAGTCCTTCCGCGAATTTGGAATGCTATCTATTCATCGGTGAAGTTGTAAAGACCAGCTGCGACTAACAGCATTAGAATAGTTCGAAAAAACAAATCCAATTTATATTTATCATTCTTCATTTGATTTTTAAAATTAGGCAGTAGGTAGTTCAGCACTATTCTATAATTAACGTAAATGCCAGGGAAAAATACATTTGTTTTCAGTTATTATCGTTTTTAAAATCAAATTACTGAAACAATAACTATAGAATTTCTACAGGAACAGTCACAGAGACAAAAAGACTGCGATAAACATTAAAAAATAAACCAACTTTCTTTTTAAGGCGGTTAATAAAATATTTGATAAGATATATTTTAGATTTCAGACTAATAGAAGATTTTCAATGAAATAAATAATAGGAATTAAACACAAAATTGGAGCGTGTCTTATCAAGGGACATGATGGAAGATCGTAGAAAATAGCAAGAACTCCACTGACAAGACAGTTGCTCTTAAACTATGAATGAATGAACGAAATAATAGTATCACAGTATATATATATATATATTACAGATATAGAAGGAAAATAAAAAAAAATACCTGTAGGTCCAGTGTAGAAGTACATAACATATAGAGCAGCATAGAATGCTTCATTGCCCGCACACATACAGAACAATACAGTTCTATTAGTGTAATACAAGTGCATTATAGGATTCTCAGACATGTCTATGAACTTGTGAGAAGTTTTTCCTTGAAGTGTGCTAGTGTGCAAGTACAACCAATGGCATGTTATGTCAATTGTGAGTGAGAGCTGCAACCAGAATGTGTATTTGGGATAGAAAGCGGCCAGCGTCATCATGAGGCAAGCTGTACCAGCACGGTCGGTCAACTGGTCTAACATCGCGCCGAATTTCGTACCTGTAAAAAATACAAAACCATCTCTTGGCATTTGATTCTTCACAAATATGAATAGATTATATCACAAAGACATGCATATAGGAAGATAGATAAATCTGTTTTCTTCTTTATATGTTTCATACCACAAGATAAAAGAGTTGTGGGATGAAAACATGAGACATCATTATAAAAATAGCAGCACATATCATCATATACCTCAATTTGAAATGAAATGGGTTTGTAAATATTACCTAACTATTAAAACATAATAATACCATGGGTTAAACTTGCAATAAAATTTGAATGGTGTCATTATGAACACCCTGATAAGACAAAAAATAATTATAATCATAATTATCAAAGTAAAACATTATCATCCTTTCATAATAGGCTAAGATATTATGTAATATGAAATATACAAAAATAAAATTTAAACTTGTATCATTAGTTCAATACTATTAATTTTTTAAGTTGGTTGGTCTTATATTTCTGTAAGTTCAAAATTATTTATTTACCACATAGTACACTAATTTGTAACTTAAAATAATCATACTTATGCAAATTTATGTCAATTTGGTAATTCTAAAGCAGGCAGCTGTTGAGGAGCAGTGAATAACAATAATTTCAATACATTTGCATGAATTGTTATTCTGCAATTCTACAAAAAAAAATACACAATCAAGTAATTAACTATTAAGTTGATGATGTAACAACATGAATATTGTCATATCAGTGACCTGCCCCGGTTTCAGTTGGGTGCTCATAACTCTGTGAGTTTTCTATTGTATTAACATAGTCTACATCATTTTAAAATAATATATGTTCCAAATAGTGAATGAATTACCCAAAACAGATTCTAGTTTATGGATTTCTCATTAATGAGAATATTTATCTGATATTTTATTCTCACAAAAGTGAATTCAGGAACTGCAGGATTCTGAATTTACTTTTTTCAAGACAATATCCAATCCCATTTTTAATATTAGTTTAGATATATAAAAAACAACATGAAATAAAAATTTCTAAAGCAAAATAATATGAAAATGATGTGAAGATATGAAAAAGACTATATTACAGATATAATAATAAATATATCATTACATTACATTATTTAATCGATGAATAACAAATAAATAAATTATATTGGGTACATTAAAAAATATTTCCTGCGACCTTGTGTAAGCTATCAATATTATCGCCACAACCTGTTTAACTAAAACACTGTATATTTCCATAACACAATAAAAATATCTTTTTTAATTCAATTAGAGTAGCTACCATTCAAAAGTATTGTCACTTACTTTGGTTGAAATACCTGGCAGCGTGACCATCAAAAGCGTCCAGCAAGGCGGATGTAATGTAGCAAGTACAGGCAAATATACAGTTCGTCGGCATAAAGTAGAAGGATATTACTGCCAAGATGACTCGAGCGAATCCTAAAATATTTAAATGAATATAAGGATAAAAAATCAAACATTCATTTCTAAAAATACTAAAATTTTACTCACCAATTATATTGGGTACGAAAAGAAAAATGTTCTCTTTTACTTCCGTCATTTTATATACAGCAGATAAAGAATATGGTTTAAAAGTAGGTTGCCGAAGCCAATTAATTTAAAGGTGACATAAAATGCACAAAAATTTAATTTTTTTTTTCATCGGTTTTTCACTTTATAGGGAAAGGCAAAAGGACTCAGCCCATACAGCCATATAAAAATTTAATTTGAATTAATAAAATAAAAGACGTCAAATTGTCAAGAAGTATTAAATTGATACAGATAAATTAACAATGACATTGTCTATGTCAGTTTCATATTGAAAATGACACTATACAGATTACTACATGGAAAAATAAAAGCAATGAATACCATAGTGTCAGTATGGTCTATAATAGTTATTACTTAATTTGTTCGCTACTTAAATTATTACAAGACATTGAGTCCAATTACTAGGTCTTGTGTGCAGTCCGTATTATCTTCTAAAAAATACGACATCGTATTCCTTTCGTATAATTTTACAAAGAAGAGTATTATTCATACAGTTGCAATAAGACTACCTACATAACGCTAAAAGTGATGTTACTAAAAACTAATCTCATAAACAAGTAATATCTATTATAAGATTACTTTTCTGGTAATATACTAATATACTACCATCTATCACTATTTACCAAGTAAAGTAGTCTGAGGCATTGTCAATTATAAAATAGTAAGTGCAACATTTGACATCCACATATTTAGTACATATAATTGAGTATATTGAGTATAATAATTCAGTCAATTTTAATCAATATTTTTAGTGTCTGTAGTTTTCTATGTCTATACCCTGCGTAGATAGAGAATAGCTTGTTCACAGATTATGGTACACAATATCATTACGGAGTACTTGATTGAAGTGAAGTGAAATTGTATTTGTTTGACAAACCCACTAGAGGGCATTAAAGTAGTCTTTAAAAATGTTAGTTGAAACCTGTCGAAAATGATGGATTTGGTTTTACAAATTGTTAGAACTTTAGTTAAATTGAAATGAAATTAGTTAATCACGATGATTCAATAGTTAGGTTGTGTAAATAAATATCAAAACGGGGTAGGACGTATATTTTTAACTATAAAAGTCATAAGACTTGTGTCATCTGACTGCTGTTCCTTCAAGATGGCTCCTCCGCCGGAGTATGATAAGGAACCTAAAGCCCCAGATAAAAGTGCCACTAGCATCCTAAATGAAGACTCGAAAGCCAACAATTTGCTTTTTGACGTGCAAATCAATTCAGACCATAAACCCGTAAATTCGGCTAGCAACAGCGAAGTTGAGGTAAGGTGATCTCTCATTGTCATTTCTTTTTATTTTGATGATTTATACAGCTCTAAAAATATTTCTTAATCTACTCACATGAAAAACAATTAGGTGTTCTAACAATTACTTAAAAATTATTTGTGAAATAAGATGACACATTTCGCTACAAGTAGGCAGTTGAACATGGCGAAGTAATTCGAAATGTCAAAAATAAAAATGCAATTTTGGAAAGCGAAACCGTGAGCATGATTATGCATTTTAATACACCCTTATTATTTATATAATAGGTCAATAAAAAAATGTACACATACAATGAAATATTAATAATTATATACTGTATACAAAGCTATTGTTAAATAACCGTATAATTAAGACTACCGTGTGGGTATGTTCCGAGTTACACTATTATAGGTGTATTAATATTTGTGTCTATCTGTAGATATTAATTATGTCGGTGTTCATGCACCTTATCCTATAGCATTAAAATAATAACTTAATAAAATGTAAAACAATATGACATAAATGAAGTGAGGCATACTTGTGTATGAAACTTACCTCCTCTAATAATTTATTTTGTTAATTTCGTTATGAAATAAAATAAATATCAAACATTTAAAAATGAATGACACCATTTATGTGCATAATAGTATCTTGTACTGAACAGGCAATTGCCTGCCCTGATATAGTTATAAATAATTTGATTCAAACATCAAAATTCATTACTAATATTGACTTATCAGTAAATATATATTTGTCATATCACATGGTATACTCATAGGTGTGTTTAAGCATCTGTAGGTATGTGCCTAGGGTCTCAATGTGGTTAATAAAAATTTCAACCGAAAATAAACAGGGTTAGTTGTGAACAAAAGTGACTGATATATATGTACATCATTTGTTAAATATATTATTTATTCTATAATACTCCATATCTAACTCTTCATAAAAGTCTCATCACGAGTAATCACACCATGTGTTGGCTAAGTTCTCTCTTTATTTTTTAAAATATATATACACATACATTATACACCTTAATGCTATACATGCAATACCTTTAAAGGCAAATAACTATTTGAAGCAGAATATATATGTAAAAAGACGAACTGCAACAAGTTTTACACATTAGTTATCAACTAAATAGTTTATTTCATTTCTTTCTAAATATATTAGCTATATAGACATGTCTATTAAAGCAATTGTATATTGTTATGGGCAAGCAAGCAGTTCCAAGTAAACCAGGGGTTGAATAGTGGTATATTAAATTATTAAAAACATCTAGAGGACAGTGAAACTAACATCAATCTATTGCATGGTTTAAGAGGAGCATTTGGAGTAGATGAACATGTAAATGGACACATAAACTTTGTTTTTTAGAAGATGATGACTAACATACAAACTTCTAATAGTATTGGTTTTATAATAGAATAATTAACTCAAATGTTAAAAATTATAACAATGTTTAATTTATTACAGTAACACATTAGATAAATTAAATAATTAATATTAAAATGTGTGTATTTCATGTAACAATCAAATATATAACTTTTTATTATTACAATAGTAACTATTATAGTAAATAAAAGAAAATAAACTTATTGAAAATAAAAAAATATGATTATAAACTGTAAGTCTTGAAAGACATTGTACTTGTAAAATTTATCACAATGAATAATTTTATCCTCATAACAATGGATGGTTATAAGGGCAGAGGAAGGCCAAAAAAGAGATGGATGGACTGTGTGAAAGATGATATGGTAAGAAAGGAAGTAAGTAACGCGATGACTGCGAACAGGGATGAATGGAAACTAAAAACATATTACGCCGACCCCAAATAAATGGGATAAGGATGAAGCAGATGATGATGATGATGATGAACAATTGAGTTATACTTAAGTATATGATTTAGTTTGTATTTTTATCTTTCTAAATTGTTTGTCTTTTTCCATTATACATTATGCAAATAATAAATTATTGTAAACATATTATTTTCTTTAAGAGGTCTGCCTAATATAAAATAACATTGTTCTGAAATGTGTTACTATAATGTTTAAAAGAACTCATTACAATATTTGTTATCAAAAGAGGTCTAAATATTTAATTTGAGGGCTTAATGACAAACATATATAAATAATGTAAGCATCTAATTTTTAATTAGTTTTTTATTAAAATTGTAGGGGATGTGTGTTGGTAATTAAATTTTTGGCCATAGTTTATTATTGCCTTCTTTGTAACTTTATTTAGAATATCTTTTTTCTAACTTTATTTGGAATATCTGCTGAACCATATTTATTAATATATTACTAACTGTTACTTTGTAAAATCATTCATGTGAAATTTAAATATTTTTAACAAAATAATAATAATTAACTGATGCAAAAATTTGAAATTACAAACACATAATTAAATTTTATTTATCCATTCAGATATATTTTAATGTTTTCTAATTCAAAACAAATTTGGTATGAATAATAGTCTAAACTATGATATTGCAAATCAAGGACACAAAAAGACTACATTACAATTCAAGTTTTTCCCCAATTTTTGAAGTCACTACTAAACGCATAATATTGTTTTCATAGTATAAGGTTTTTAATTCTCACATGCAACCATTATTATATTGTTGCCACTTTTTTAACTAGAATAATACAATAGCTCACAATCAGGTTCCATATCATTAAATCTTAGTGAATGTACATAATTTAACAATGCACATGTGAAATTTGTGTTGTGAAAAAATAATGAGAACTCTAAAATTGGAAGAGAATCATATAAGTACATAGAATAGGCATGAGCACACTAATTAATTTCTTCTTTTGTAATCTTTATAGTCATTACTAAACTGCTTTAATATATGGCTTATTATTGTGTAAACTGAAAATTTCCAATTGTCATTCTTATTGTTATTGTGGTATGTTATTCATGATGAAAAGTAGACAATCTAATCTTTAAGTTAATGCATATTTTGATGATGATTGACAGTAGTGGTGGTGATAGTGATATCAGGTAATAGTATAAATTAAGGAATTGATAGGAGATAATAAATCTTAGTCTAATAGGCCAGTTACTTCCTATGCCACAACCATGCATATCTGGATACAGAACACATATTAGGTTCTATGTATGTTAGGAATGGTTTATAAAATACGACTTATTATTTACGCAATTTGAGTGTGTTAGACGGCAATCTCACATGATAAGGGATGATGCGGTCTAAACTGTAAAGCAAACTCAACTACGACTACAAAATTTCAAAATCCTAATTCATTTAGAAATTGTTCTGGTATGACTGATTTATTTCGTAAAGATTCTTACTTATTTCATAAAGATCTGGTACATAACACTTTTTTTCAAGCTTTGGGTGTACTGCCGGCCTTACCGTCTACGTCATACGATTGCGGATTTCCTGTGAGAAACTTCCGTATTTTTGGTTGACGGAAAGCACATTGTAGAATCAGCAACTAATAGTGGTTTTTCGATATAATATAATATCGAAACCTTCAAGGAAAAAGCATATTCCTTCTTTTAAGGGCGGTAAAACTCCCTGAAATTCTCCTTGTGTTGCGGGAGACTATGGACCGCGATAATCACTTACCATAAGTAGGTGGTTTGCAAATAAAAAAACACAACCTCAATAAAACACCCATCGAGATCGTTGCTATGATCTGTCTACGTGTCTATTGACGAGGCTATGCGCTGCAATGTTTTTTTATAATGGATAATCGTGCACCGACCTCCGATAACGGTTTCTGCTGGCGGGACACCAGTGGAGGCTGATAAGCTCAGGTGAATTATCCCTTCGTGACAAATTCACCAGGAATTTATCGTGATGGTTTCCAGAGGTAACTGCGCGGAGGCCAACTTAACAGAGCTCATTGCTAGCGATTGGGTCATCAGTCCACATTACTAACAATCACCTTTCCTCTCACTCTACGTTGTTAGGTGTTGTAAGAGAGACTGTGTACACCCATGCTGCTATGTCGAGTTAAGGTTACCCCTACAGGTTTTGCGGTACCTTGCGGTCGGAGGCGTTGTATTAATATCTCTAATTTTAAAAGCATTAGTGAAATAATGAAGGCAAGTATTGCGGTGGTTTGGTGTGGAGGTTACTTTTAACGATCGTTTTGAACAGTGAGTACAGTGACAACCATGCATACTTACAGTATTCGTAATATTCATAAATTCAGCAAAACTTGCTGCTAATCCAATCCAGCATACCATAATCTGAATCAAATATATCGATATTCGTTATCATTGTTGTGATATAGTAGCACAGAAATTACAGAAGTTAAAGTTTCCCTATTGACTGAGTATTGGCAATCGTATTAAGTAACAAACATTGTTTAAAATAAAACATGCTGAGTTTACAAATCAATTGTTATCTACTACGCAGCAAATATATATATATAAAAACGTAATGGCAGCAATTGTCTGTACAAGAAAATTGTATGAGAAACCTGTTATTGGGGGTATTTTATCAACGTAACAAAAGACAAAACCATTATTAGTTTATGTTAGAATATTTGTCTATTTCTTGTCTGTGCGTGTGAATCTCAGAAATTGCTTAACAGATTTGGCGAATTGTAATAACACAAACCTTTAAATAATACTTACGATAACATGTTTGCTTTATTCCAATAAATTCACATCTCAAAAAGTACAGAGTACGAACTTCTGGGCTCAAGTAGTCGAAAAAGTGTTTAAATGGAATTATTCCATTATGTCTGAAAACCACAATAAATACATGACATAATACGTAGTATCTATTACTTAATGGGTCTTGGACGCAAGCTGACTAGTTGCACTATCATCAAAAATACATCCTCAAAAAAAAAGATGCACCATATTAGAAAATAAGGAAATTGTAATTACATTCTCATACTTATTTTTGTTAAGGATATATAATATATTTAAATAAATATTACATTATTTGTTTGGAACCCTCGATAATAAGCGAGATCAATCTATTGATTGGATTTTACTTTTCTACCCATTTCTTGTGTGGAGTATAAAATTGTTAG